TGGGCTGACTCGTCCCGTGGCTGACTTCGGACCCCGGGCTGACTCCGCCCGGGCGAACTCGGCCCGGGCTGACTTCGGCCCGGCGACTCGCCGGCGTACGGCCGTTGACTCGGCCTGGGCTGACTCGCCGCTGTACTTCGGCCTGGGCTGACTCCGGCCGGGCGAACCGGACCCGGCTGACTCGGCCCGGGCTGACTCGGCCCGGGCTGACGTCGGCCCGGGCTGACCTCGGCCCCGGGCTCGTGACTCGCCCCGGCTGAACTCGGCCGGGCTGACTCGCGCCGCGGCTGACTCCCCGGGCTCTACTCGGCCCCGGCTGACTCGCCGGCCTGACTCGTGATCCCGGGCTCTGACTCTGCCGGCTAGCTCGGCCCGGGCTGACTCGGCCCGGGCGGACTCGGCCCGGGCTGACTCGGCCGCTGAACTCGGCCCGGGCGACGTCGGCCCGGGCTGACTCGGCCCGGGCTCGACTCGGCCCGGCTTGACCTCGGCCCGGGCTTACTGCGGCCCGGTGACTGATCTCGGCCCGGGCCAGCTCGGCGCTGACTCGCCCGGGCTGACTACGGCCCGGGGCTGACTCGGCCCAGGGCTGACTCGGCCCTACGGGCTGACTCGGTGACCCGGCGCTGACGTCGGTCACTCCGGCTGACTCAGGCCCGGCTGAACTGACCGGTCCCGGGCTGAGACTCGCTGGCTACTCGGCGGGCTGACTTCGGCCCGGGCTGACTCGCCCCGGGCCTGATCTCCGCCCGGGCTGATCATGTGGTTTGTAAATAATGTATTGTTAACCTTCGTGGCGAAAGAGGGTTTGAGCCCGGTTAGACTTTCTACTAGCGCAATTGCGGAATAAAGGTTGGGAATTGAAAAAGGCACCATTTTTTCTGCACTCTTTTCGCACAGCCTTGTGCTTTTTATTAAACTTTAAGGTTAGTTAAACGTCGGCCGAGTCAGGCCGGGCCGAGTCAGCCCGGGCCGAGTCAGCCCGGGCCGAGTCAGCCCGGGCCGAGTCAGCCCGGGCCGAGTCAGCCCGGGCCGAGTCAGCCCGGGCCGAGTCAGCCCGGGCCGAGTATGCCCGGGCCGAGTCAGCCCGGGCCGAGTCAGCCCGGGGCCGAGTCAGCCCGGGGCCGAGTCAGCCCGGGGCCGAGTCAGCCCGGGCCGAGTCAGGCAGCATGCCATTGATAACGTGCTTATCAAAAGTCAATTATTGCGATTGATTATTATTCAGAATAAATGAATCAAAGTACCTTGTAAGTGTATTAAATTTTACGTTATTTTCATTTACTGAAGCCCCCTCCCAATAATTGCAGCCCAAGCCTTATGTCCTGTATAACAGTATACTAAGTGGAAATAAATACAATGAGCAGCCGCCCCCCCTCCCCCCTATGAATTTTGTTCCCACAGCACTGTCTCTGACAGTCAGATACCCCGGGCATCAGAGCCACATAAACTAGAGAGCGGAAATAGAAGATAAGAGTACGTTCATTCGCTTCTCTGCTTGGCATTCTGTTTACGCGCTCGAAATTTTGTGGCTCTGGGACCCAGGGTACACGTAAGATTGAACACATGGCTGAAATAACGGAAAACAGGGTTTGGGTGGTTTGAAGCGCATGTATTGGGACTTTAATCGCAATATAATCAGTCTAGGGCATTAAGTTTTTGACATTAAGTTAAAAAATTCTCTCCAACGCGGAAAGGCCCGTAAATTTTTTGTACACAGGGCCCGGGTGGCGATCGCCACTTTGCCACCCGGGCCAGACCGCCCCTGACCACACTCGTTTGCCTGTAATTATTCTTCAGCACAATGCGTCCTTCCCCGTATCTTTAGGCCTATAAAATACCTTCGGGGGGTACACTTTCACGACAAAGATTTCTAATTTGGCCTTACCAAGAGGAAAGAAATTTGATTCATATCAAATTTATTTTCTACAAATTCATTTTGACAAACTAAATATAAAACATTCGCACTCTCCTACTCATGGCATGCCATATTTGGTTCTAAACGACAGACAGAAAAATTCAAGAATTATATATCTAGAATGGTCTTTATTATTAGGTAATAGACTTAAAAAGTTTTTTCTAATCCATATGAAGATAAAAATTGCAAACACATACTTTTTCAACTCATAAAAACACGACAAGCCACTGCCGTATTCCTCCCGTAACTGCGTAAACTAAAAGAGCCATAATTTTTAAAATTCTCTTTAAAAACCCAAAATAATTGTTATTTGTTGTTGATTTATATCTCCTCTAACTACCTGCATCAGAAAAGGCACTGAAATAGTTGTGAGCCACGAGAAAATCATTAATTAAAACAAGCAATTTTCCATACTGTTTAAAATGGCGGAAGTTAACTAATTTGCCTCACTCGGCAGTACGCAGCATGACCCGAGTTAGACATCTAGCGCCTTCGGTGCTTCATTGACACCAGAACATTCAGATTGATACGAGGTTGGGGTAGCTACTTCATGTGGTTTTGCCTTTTCTTTTTTAGCGCGAAGAACGCCGGTAGGAAACATATTTGTTGTTGCAATAAAGACCGTGGAGAGATGGCTGAGGAGAAAGGAGAAGAAAATTTTATCAAGGTAATAGTATAAATTTTGTAGCTAGCATTTCAGCTTATTTTTCTGATGGTCACATTTCCTAAACTATTAAAAATACACAATTTGTTAGTTGAAATGTAGAACCGTGAGAAGACTTACTCACGTGCAAAAAAGGCGCACGACACTGTTGATTAGACTTCAAATTACTTTGTTTTCTTCAGGCAAATTGTCATAGGCAGCATGCCATTGATAACGTGCTTATCAAAAGTCAATTATTGCGATTGATTATTACTCAGAATAAATGAATCAAAGTACCTTGTAAGTGATCACAAAACAAAACCTTTATTTAGGCCAGTGACGTAAACAAGTGGGTAATTTTGGGGGGTCGTGGAAGGTTGAAAATTCCAACCTTACTTGACACAATTTTTCTCTCGACCTGTTAATCTACTGAACCTACTAAATTGGCTTTTGAAAATAGCCCTATTCCAGATTTCTAGTTTCTGTATTACAACCAACATTTTACTCATAATAGTTAGTCTTAAGCATAAAAGCTCTAAAGAAAACAAAGGAAATCTCTAAATTTTGATTAATGCAAAACAAAAATTTAATCTTTTGTAAGAAGTGAAGCAACACCAGTTTTAGATCTTGGATATATTTAATGCTAAAAAGTAATATTCTTGCAAGTCAACTAACAGCGATTCTGTTCTTTTTCTGCTTTGCTCATCTAAAAGCTATTTGTTGAAGATCAGTTTTATGTAAAATATCTTTTTCAAAATGAAGAAGCATCAAAGAATTGATCATTTTATCTTATCTTCTTGGTTGAAGGAAACTTTTTTAGAGAGTTAAATGTTTTTGTGTTTTGCAACTGGAAAGGGTGATATGAGGGCAAATGCATGTGCCCAATTTGTAAGATATTACACTCTTCTTTAATCAAATACTTCTGCTGCTGCTTCTTTGATCAATGTTTTGTGGCTTCTTGTCAGCTTTATCATTTATGATAAGATTTAAGGTGGTCTACAAAGTACAGGCCCAGCTTAGCATACACTCATTAAGAATTTTTGAGAACTTTTAGCAATGACAGATTTTTAATGTTTTAAATGAATGGGCTACTTGTAGTTTCTTAAAAAATTTCCACTTTCAATTGTTATGATCAATACAGGGTATGATTTGTTTTCAAAACTGCAGACTAAATCAATCTTATAATAAATTCTGAAGTTCTTATCCAGAAAGAAATTCACTTTGCCTGTTCAAAATAATTCAATTAACTTAACCCTTGTCAAAAAGAAAATAAAACGGTTTAATGGTGCAATTTGAGATCCAGGACTTCACATTTGAAAATGATTATAAGATGTGTCTGCGCCAGAGTTTGGAATTTGATAATGTCTGAGATTTTTACATTTAAGATCTCAAAATCTCTAAGCTATAAAATTTGTATATTTGATCATAAGAGTTAGAAAAAATTCCAAGTGAACTTTTAAGTTTTCCAGTTGTAACTGGATTTTCACACCTTTGGGAAGGGCATCATGCCCCCAACGCCCCCTATCATTTACATGCCTGCCTTTAGGCCACATCCTTTGTGCTGGCAGAAAAGGCCTATAGTCACACAGTTGATAAGGTATGTAGTGTTATTTTGTGAAACTTGCCTCAATAAACGTGATTAAAAACACTTTTTAAATTTAAATTGGTCTTATGGTGAAAAAAGAAACAATATTGACTGAAGAACTACATATCAATGAACCAATCCATTTTGCAGTGTGCAGCCCATTTTAAAAAGATCTTGGTTTGCAACAACAGTCCCCAAATTTTAATAAAAAATGCCAGGTGTGTCACCACTGTCAACGTTTTCTGTATGTAATTCAATATGTTTTTTGGTGTGCCTTAAACATTCCCATGTCTGCATCTTGAGTGTGAAACCACAATGCTCTGCAGTAGCAGTACTCCCTCAGCAGTTCGCGGTAAAAGGCATTTTCTTGTGGCAAAAATGGCGTAGCCTATGAATTTATTGTTTTGTTCCCTTCCACCCCCCTGAGCCTAGTGGCTGGCACCACCATTGGGATCCTGTGCATGGTTAAAAGTTGTCTATAATCTGAAAATTTTAATTTTCTGCAGCTTAAAGAAGATTTCCAAGCATACTCAAAGAAAAACTTTTGTATTCCAAAGCATTATGAAGATGATTTAGAAACTGTTCTTATTCCACGTGGCTTGGTTATGGACAGGTTAGGTGTCATTCAGATTTATTTACAATTAAATATTGTTTCCAAACACTGGAGACTTGTTGGCTGCTAGATTTCTACATTTAGCAGAAATTAGAACATTTCTAGGAACTTACTGTTCAGTAAGTTCATCCATTAAAGGCATTGAGTCGTGGTAAATACTGGTTCTCTGTGGGGGTTTGTCTTTTGTCTGTTTTCATGTGATAAGTTTGTTATTCATGTGATCAGACATTCTTTGTCAAAAGAGAAAGGCATTTGAAAAGCCTTTTTTGACATTTGAAAGGTACAAATGGGGGAAGAAGTTTTGAAATCTTTTGTAGAGAACAAGAGAAAAGAGAGAGAAAGAAAGAACCTTTAGAAACGGCAGAACAAAGAGCACTTACAGCATCCTGTGTGCAGTTTGCTTGACAGCCAATCAGATTAGGGAAGCTATCATAATGACTCAGCAATTTTTGCAATTTGGGTATACGCTTCCTACTTACCATGACTCAATACCTTTAAGTTGTAAAAAATTTCATACGAGAGAGGGTTAGGAAAGCAGGTTTTTCATGGCCTCTTAAAATAAACTAAATTTTCATTTTTTGTAATACTTCCAGAATTAAAAATTCACCAAAAGTATAACACGTCTTATTTATTTCATTCTAGAGTTTGATGGGCATTTTTTGTAAATCATGTGCAAAATATGCGGATAATTCCCATTTGTATCATAAACATTCCAGGTGGCATCTTAGGCAACATGGGTACTGTTTAATTCTGCTAAGAATAGGGAGAAGTCCTATTCTTCAAAATTTTGAAAAATGATCCTCGTTTTCAATTAATTATTTTTTATGGTTTATGTTTTTTCTTTTTAGAGTTGAAAGAATGGCAAGAGACATCCATGGTGAAATGAAGAGTGGGCCAATTGTTGTCCTTTGTGTGCTAAAAGGAGGCTACCAATTTATGAAAGATCTTTTGCATTTTATCAATGTTTTGAATGCAAATTCAGGTATACCTTTCACACAACACACTATATAAGTTAAATAAAAAAACGGAATCATTGGTTAGTAAATGTTGCTGGTAAATTTATTAGATGAGTGACCTACTGCAAACTGGTCAATTTTTGTAATGTCCCACTTGATAAAATATCTTTATGATAATCTTCAGTGTAAATCGCAAAAAGACTAGAAGCAAGTACTTTAGATAGGTCTAGTTTGTTTTTTGACTTCTTGACATCATATAAACTAAACCTAAGAAAAATATGTATGTCTATCAGATTGATCTTTTCAAATGACCTTGCAACACTTTTTCAGGTCGTTCTTTTCAACTTGGCATTGATTTCATAAGGGTTAAGAGCTATGTGGTGAGTTATAAAATATATTTATTAGCATATTATGATGATTTTGATAATATGATTATGTTAATAGTGTTATGGTGTTAATGATATTAGTGATATTAGTGATATTATGATATCATTATATCTATTAGGATATTATGATATCAATTATATATGGCATTTAATGATTTTAATGATATTATTGATCATGATTCTATTAATGATATTTATGCAATTGATGATATCAATGATGTTGTGAAAATTTTCTTAGGCTAGGATACTCAGAATTTTTTAATGAGGATACCACTTTTGAGCAAACATTTAAATGGGGCTATAATTTTTCAAGCCAATTCTTCTGCTTATATATTTTAGAAGTTTTTATTGTATTTGGAGTCTTAACAAGATATTTGTGATTGATCATTGATTAACACCTTATCAAGATATGTATGGGTGTTGAACCAGGAGATCCTAGTTCTCAAAACTCCTGGGTTATTTTTGTACATCCAATGAGAGCCATAATTATTTCTGCAAAAAGTACAATTTGATAATGCAAACCTCAAATTGATCAAGAAAAGTGTTTTGTTACTGAAAGGTCTAAAAAGGTTTGGTGTGACAGCTTTAAATAGAAACCAATGTGACATCATTTTTATAATTTTAGATTTCTGATCCCATAACCTGAAAGAACAATACACAATAGTTTTAAATATGCAAAAAGGCTAAAACTGTTCAAGACTGACTAAGATATGGCCAGTAAAAGACTATAATAGTATTATTGATATTGCCTAATACATAGGTTTTAGAACCAAGGCCAATCTAATGCAAGTACGGCAATATCTCAGTCAATATGCAACAGATTTAATTGATTGGCAAATCTTGAAGTATTCCCTTGTGTTCTCTAGGATATGCAGTCAGACTTTTAGAATTCTGAAAATATTTTTTTTGATGACCTCACTTTTTCACTCTATTGCATAGTCCAGCAGAAAATAATCAGGACTTGTATCAATGCTATTGAAATTGATTAAAAAGCACAAACTAATACATTTTATATTATCATTTAATTTCTAATAATAGATAATTAACTATAAAGATTGACCAATCGTGTACTGCTTTTTCTACAAAAGACAACATAGATGAACTTCACTGAGCCTACATGGCCCTTTCTGAAAATATCGCAAGAACTGTATGGCATAAATGCAAAAAATACCCCATTGTTATTATGATAGAATGATAATTCAAATGGTGAAGTCAAAGTCATTGGTGGAGATGATATGTCTAACCTTACAGGAAAAGTAAGCATTTTTAGATTTCCATTTATGTTATACCTTAGCCTGTAATGTTACATATTTGTGCTGCTTTGGGCTGAAACACAGTCCTTTTTTACATCCATTTTCACCTAAAAGAAGAAGAAACTGATCATGTATATTGAAAAAAAACCATCAGTCATCGTTTCCCTTTCACCTATGTGAGTTGGATGTGTTCAACTTTTGCAGCAAAAAAGGATAAGTTTTTCTTTTGTCTTTTTGACAAGGCGCTAAAATCTTTTGCCTCAAATGTCTCCATGTTTTATCATGATGTCTGGTTTGGCATCCAAGGGTGCCTCAAGCTTGATGCGTTGTGGTATAGACTAGAGATTCTCTCACCACAGTGCATGGCTGAGAAGTTCAATCTAAAATTCAGGGCTTCTTCTTAAAAACCTTTCATATTCGACACAATTCTATTTCAGCCTTAAGTTCTTGGTTTGTGATGAAAAGAAAAACCAATGTGAAAAGAATGAATGCTAATTTGAAAGCTGAACCCTTAATTAGTTCTAGCTTTACTGACAGTTTTTAAGTTTAGTCCACTTTTGCTCAAATTGGAATGGTAAAATGAAGTCCTGATTGTAATAAATCTAAGAATAATCATTGATATGTCTTAATAGATTATGTAAATTATGTTATATTGGTCTGCTTATACTGTTAAATACATTTTAATTAATTTTTGAGTGAACTTCGTTTTGTTTTTTTCTAGCATGTTCTTATTGTTGAAGTAAGTATATTTTCATTGCATAAACGATGCTTTATAAGAGATATCAAAAGGAAAAAGCTTCGTGAAAATGTATTTAAATAGCCACAAAATACTTCAGGGACTGTGCCTTTACCTGAAAAACTGTTTCATCATGGATGTGGGGGGATGTGTATTCTCAGTCAATGCCCCCACTCCTTCCCCCCTATGGCAAAAAATTTCTAGTGGCATTTAGCTATTTAACAGGTCAGTAAAGTCCCAATGAGCAGAGAAATTATTTCAGAAAAAAATATGCTTGCCTATCTTGCACCCTTTTTATCAATTTATTATCCTTTATGCCATTCTAGTCCGCATAAACTTCATATTTTCATCTTCATTCGATAATAGTCATCAAATAGTCTTTATATTCATATTCTACACCCAGACTATTTTATTTGTTGTTTTAAGTACTTTGTTGAGGACAAAGGCTCTCTGCATGCTGATTTAAGTTTGAAATTTTCATGATATTTTACAGAATATGTCAAAAATTATAATTTGTTCTATTGTAATTGTTTTAATTGAGTGTATTATTTTGTTTTCAGGATATAGTAGAAACAGGAAAAACAATGGAAAGACTAGTCGCCTTATTGAAGAAGTCAAATCCTGCAAGTATAAAAGTTGCAAGGTCGGTTGCTGAAGCATTCGATATTCAACTTGTTTATGTTAATAATTCTTGAAGCACGGCTTTTTGCATTATCTTTTAGAAAAATATCTAGGATATATTTGTTCTTGCTCAATTTAAACATTCTCTCTAAATTATCTTGTAACTTTTCTTAAGATGGGGCTTGATTCCAACAGAAGAGCTCAGTATCAGAGATTTTGAATTTTGAAGTTCTTTTTCCATTAATTGTATGATTTTTCCACTGTTTTATTTTCAAAATTTCTATGGAAATTTGAATTTGATCTTTATGAAGTATATGTTTATATGCATGATACATTGTTATCTCAATATAGTAAGTATTTCATCTCAATTTTGAGAAAAATGATAAAACATGTTTTTTACATTTACCTTTTTACATATTCTATAAGAAACTTGTTGTAGCCCCTGAACATTAAGAATATTGTATATGTGTCATCCACATATCGAAAATAAACGCCTGGCTTTTTGTCGCAGTCGTAAAACACCTTAACAACCTCAACAATGTACCAACAAAAGGATGGTGTCGCTATGGGTAGCCCTCTGGGATCTGCCTTGGCCAACATCTTTGTTGGCTTTCGTGAAAAGCGTTTGTTCGACTGCGACAAAAAGCCAGGTGTTTATTTTCGATATGTGGATGACACATATACTTTTTTTCAAAACAGAGGCTAAGTGTGATAGTAAAAAGAATGTTGGCTGCCTTGTTACACTCAAGCAAAGCCCAGTGTCATAATTTTGTTTCTTCATAATGAAGAATCATTTTTTAAAAGCATTCTGTTGTTGCTTTCACAGCTTATTAGTCAAAAGGACAGGGAAACCTTGTGCCTTCACGCCAGATTGTGAGTATCATTAGCCGGTGTCATATGAGTTTCAGTAACCTTATGCATTTCGGTCCGAGTACAATGATGTTATGCACTTAAACCATAACAATTGCAGGACTGGTGTAATCTAGTATGCAAAGCGGTCCGGTTACACAAATGTTCTGGTTCTTATTGTCCAGAATGTAAAAACAATCAAACGATTTTAACAAGGGGGTACTAATAAGAAGCGGTGCTGGGATTTCCCTTGTTAAGTACAACATTAATTACGACTCCAAAGTTTGCATGATTGACAAGTGTGAAATTTTAAACTCGAAAAGCATCGTGTTCAATTTGTTCATCGCACTAAGATGAAATCACATGATTTGAAACACATTACGTTTCATAATGTTAAACCGGAACCAAAAATTTCGACCGAGAAAAGGGCAACTAGTATCTACCTTAACGCGCTAAGACATATTTCGTAAAAAATAAAAAGTATTAATTGTTGTGTGTCATTTAAGATTCATATAAAGTCATTTCTAATTGATGGATGTTTTGGTATTTTATAGATATTGGTTTCGAAATACCAAACTATTTTGTGGTTGGCTATGCCTTGGTAAGTGTGTTATTTTTAAGCCATCATGTATAATCTTGATCACGGCAAGATTGTAAGCTTTCTTACTCATAACACAATGCCACCTGTTTGTACCCACTTGTGCTCAAAATTTTCATTGTATCAAATGTTTACATTGATGTCTTTTAACATTCGAATAAAAATGTTTTAAAGGTTTTCACAGTTGGATTATCCCCGACGATTCAATTTATTTGTCTGGTTACATTGTCTATATTCATGTTTATATTTCCGGTTATATTCATTAAAATGGCCAATTACTTCTTATCAAGCGAAATTCAGGCTTGAATGAACTTTTTTATTCTATTGACAAAAAACTGACTTAGAAGTAAACTGTGTCTGGTTTTACATTTAATGTGTCTTTCTTTTAATGTTTTTTTTGTAGGATTACAACGAGTATTTCAGGGATTTAGATGTAAGTATTTCTCCATTAGAAAATGTTAGAATGAACCTTTTTTTACTTTCATATCTCACAAGAAAACGGCATCATATCGCAGCATACTGAAAGTTACTTTTCGTCTAGTACTCCAAGAGTATAAAATCATTGGTAAATTGTAGTCCAGATGTGAATCTCTAATGACTCAATGGGTGAATGGCAAATGTTATCACTAATCAGTCCCCACTTAATCGATGGCATTATTGCTGCAAGAGCTACATGTAAAATACGTGAACTCGAATGGTGGTGCTATTTCTTTGCTCCAAGGTCTATAATACAAGTTCACTAGGAATATACGTCTGTGAAACAAGTGTGTTTACAAGGTATTTCACGCGAATAGTACAATATATCACTTTCCAAATCTTGTGCTATTCGCAATGAATAGTTTTAGAACAGAAATATGTTTAGACCCAGGTAACCATTTCAGGTCAGCATTTCAGGTCACATCAATTTTTATTTGATGACACTACTGCAAATACGCTTTAGACATGCCTGAAAATGTATGCTTTTCAGAAATGAGATTAAAACAAAAGTTGCTTATAATGTCACCACACTGTTTGGAAACGCACATCAAGCTGTCAAATAATTTGCCTTAAGAACATTCATTAAAAACTTATAGTTCAAAGTCACATCACAGATTAATTTCATAGTCACCATATTTTGATCTTTAACTAAAGACAAGTTTCACCTTTCTTGAAACATTTTGAAATACCAGCTCTTTGATTGAGATTAGGTTGTTATTCATAAACTTGTTTGACATTATCGTATCTCCCATCTCTTCATTGATGTTTCTGCAGATACATTTTTGTGCTCCAGTTAGATCATATTTTCATTTGACTTTTGTGATCCTTCAGTGTCACTGTTATGCAAAGTTAAGTCTTACTTTTTTTAATAGCTTCAATACTAATCTGCAATTGGTAATGTCCTTCTTATGTTTAATTTAATCGTTTCCTGGCATTCCTTTAGCCCTCTATGACCTGGTTCTATTCTATGTAAATTTTGACTTAATCATATTATCACTTAAATTTGCCTGTCACTGAGGTTACCATTTTTGCTGACTGAATAAGCCCTTCCTTAGTTAAGAAAAAGGTTTTTAGTTATTAGTTTAATAATTAGGCTATTCTTTGAAATGTGTGACTTTGTTTCTAACGTGAGAAGGTAAGTTTTTGACTAATTAGTGGAGTTTAGGATCTTTATTCCAAATTAACAGAACCATATAAAAGATTGTGCAGCTATAAAAATATTTAGCGTGCATCGGCTCCTTGAGCATGACGGGTCTTTTCTATAATGTACTGCATATGCGACCATAAACACATATTTTTTTCAGGATTTTATTATAGTCATTTGCCTCATTTACGTTGGCCTGACGTCCTCGTATTAGCTTTTTGACAGACAAAGTAGAACTTTTTACCTGTCCTTTACGTTTTGGGCTATTGACTAACGACTCCAACTTATCACCTCTGCGCTTCAACTTATCATCTATAGCTATTCTTCATAGTATTCTCACGTTAAAATAATATTATATTGTCAAATAAATTGACTTTTATTCAAAATTTCTTTTCTCTCTACAGCACATATGTGTTCTACCGCCAAGAAGTGTCGACAAATATCGAATGTAGCTATGCGATGAAGCAGGCAGGCGTGATTTTTACCAATCCGAGAAATTTATTTAGATACAGATTTTTCATGATTTATGTTTTTGAGAGTGAAATAATTTGCGAGAGCCATGAATCCGAATGAACTGATTATGGTAGAAATTCAAAAGGAAAGATGATTTTATAGTTTTTCTTCTGATCTTCTCAAAATTGTCAATTTTTTCGACTCTTTTTCTGCTGTCTTTTGGTTGACCTGCTTTCTTCTTTCAGTCAATCTGCTCCGACAGCCAGTGTTTATCTGATTCACATGGCAACAAGAATTTTATTTGCGATATTGTATGGTAATGGTCAATAGATACATCTGAATCAACTTGATTGGCTGATACATTCTTTGCTAATTTGAGGTGCCATGAAATTAGGACATGAAAGACGGTTTTTGTGAGGTGATCGAAGATGATGTTCACAGAATTTCAACTTCAGATGTAATATTTTTACGTTTTAATGTCATTAGTAACATTTTTCCTTGCTTCTATCGGCCAAAGATCCCAATTTTATCGATTTGTCGATCAACGAAGAAGTGAGTGTGAGGGTCTTGAATGTTTGCACAGTCGTCCCCCATCCTTGTCTTCTGTTAAAGTGGGCCTTCCCTATGCAGTTACACAGCATTCACATCGACCTCAATCATTATTAAGCACTCTTTTTGACTGTATGAAAGGGGGGGGGGGATTGCTCGGTCACTGGACAGGTGACTCACTCGTCTGTCTGCCCAAAAGTCTTCGCTCTGATGCATCTATAAGGCTTATTTATTGGTCAAAGCATGGTCAAAGTGTAGGCAGCTAAGATTTGCAGGTACTGTAATAAATTTGTATGAAAAATTAGATCATGGTGGCCATTTATCGGATTGATGGGTGAACATATGATGGAGGGAGAGAAGGGGTAGCTTCCGTCAAATGATTTTAGAGCTTTGTGTTTTCATGGAATAGCTGTGCCATTTTGTCCTTAAAGTAAAACTAGAAATTTAAGTGACACTGTACTGGGAAGAAACAGCGAATTTTTTAACGACATTTCGTGCATAGTCAGTTATCACTTAGTAGCCCGAAAACAGTAGATAATTGCTGTTTAGTGTGTTATGAACGTACAGCAGGCAGCTTGTGCATTTCTTAGAAGTGAAACTGAGTTACCCGATGTCACTGAACTTCCATTGTATGGAATGTATCAGTTGGAAAGGCATTTGAATTTACCTGATTAATGGTGGTTCTGTTTCTGTATAAGATTTTAAAGGTTACCGCTTTTTAATTGACTTGCAACTAAAGTTATTGGAATGTATTAGTTTCATCGGTGATTTCAAAATGTTCGGCCCTTTTTTGAGTAAAGAGAAGGTAGAATGCATCAAAGCAAAATCCAAGAAACAACAGCATAAACAAAAATGACGCCACCACAGGGTGATAATAAAATTTCTTTACTTTGCTGGTACATCCCCCGTCAGTTTAGAATGGATGGGAGCAGGCAACGGCTTAATATTCTTTCTTATCCACTTCGAAAAAGAAATTCCGACAAGGAACTAATGAAAATTTTCTGCCTCCAACCTTGCATTGAAGACGGAAGACGACAGGGGTAGGTGGGCAACAACAACAAAACAAAGGGGCGGGATGTTTTGAAAACGAGGCAAGAAAAACAGAGCAAAATAATTTCTAGCATGTGGTTTTAGGTCAGTAGAGCAATGGCATCTAAAAGGAAGGCAGCAGAACCATCTAAACTTTGCGAAGAAAAACGCTCCTGTCGATCATGGAACATGAACGAGCATGTCAAAGGATCAGATGATGATTTGGTAAAAGATAGCTGCCACAGCAGCTCTAATGAGAAAACCAATGTACCAGCGAATGACGATGAAAGTGGAGACAAGCGACGTTTCACCAAGAAGAAAAGAAAAGTACCACAAAAACATTCTTCTGTGTCTCCTTTTCTCTTGATTGAAATTGAAAATATGTCATTTCTTAAAAAACAACCCCAGCAATCAACTCTGTTGGATCTAGGTCCAAAGATATCTCAGATAATTTTGACTAAAGGTTCTAGTGCGCAAAATGGTGGAGTTCAAAATGTTCATTGTGGTGATAATGGAACTGCAACAGACTTGGATGAAAACTGCATTTTTTTCTTGAAAATATATAATAATAACACTACAGAAACTATGGTGGAGGCGTATGATGTTGATATTGTATCAATACAGCGGAGTCATTATGAAAGTACCAATTTGAATTCAGTAAAACAGTATATGAGCATTGTGTATGAGGGAAGGCTGCTTCTGCCAACAGTTATGATTGAAAGCTTAAACATTCTTGTTAAAAATAAAAGGCTGAAAATAACATTTTCTCCAGAAATGTGGACCCATGACCAAATATTTCTTGATGTTCAACTGCTTGAAGGTGGAGTAAGCATTTTTGCTGATGAAGAGAGATATGCAGTCGGGTCTCCATCTGTGGTGAATTCTTTGAAAACGATCATGTCTTATTATTATGGAATCAAAGATGAACCAACTATGGCTCTACTAACAAGAAAATTTAACTTCACTGCAAGTGAAATACCAGCTTTGTATGATCATATCAAGAAATACCATTTTAAAAGATTTAATATAGCTAATGCAACTGATAAATTACATTCAGAACAGTGTCATGCACTGAGGCCAACAGAAAGTGAGGCAAATTTATCATCCCTTTTTTTCAATGGGAAACCAAGGATGTTTGAGAGAATTCATTCTTTAAATGACTTGAGCAGTTATGAAGAAGAAAAAAATGATCATTTTGGTGAATTTATAGAATCTGAAGATGCAGATATTGCTGAAGTGATTGATGGCAAAGGACCTGCAAAACTTGATGCTAATGATGTATTTTTGGATAATTTAATACCATCATTAAGAAAATACCAGCAGGAAGCCTTGAAATGGATGATTTCAAGGGAAAATGAGACAGAATATGAGTTAGGTATTCATAAAGTATTTTATGATTTTCATTTATTTTATAGCTCGCACTTCAGTTACAGCAATTTTTTATGAAATGAAATAAAACAAAGAAAGAATTTAGTTATGGTATGCCAATCTTATGATAAGAAAAGTGATGTAAAAATAATATCCTGTAAATTTATAATTGTTGTTATGATTCTGTTTTAAAAAATTTGATTCTGTTCATTTAGTTGTTACTCAAAGTTTCATGCTAAAGTGCGATCATCATTAGATTTTTTTTATAATATTGCCTAGGAAAAGTGAAAAAATTCAATAAACACCCCCTCGAATAGATACCCCCATAGAATTGAGGCATTATGGTATGAGTATCATTTTTACAATTTATTTGTTCACTACCTGTACCCTTATTGTATCTATTCCAGGGGAAGAAAAGCACATATTATGGCATCAATTGGTCCTAGAGCAAAAAGCTGGTTCAGTTTATTTTAACCCAAAAACTGGGAGGTATATGCTTTTAAGATTTTTTAATTTCTTAAATCTTCTTTATGTTTTGTGATTGGATATGCTCAAAACGTAATACTTTGTTTATATGTTGTTAATTTTTTATTAGAGAATAAAGACATTTGTGAAAAAAAATGAATATAAAAGCAGAATTTCAGAGCAAAACTGGTAGTTTTTTTATTTTTTACCATTTTAATTTTTTGTGAAAAAATTCACTTTGATTATTTAACTGATGAATTTACATGGGAAACAGTTTACTTGATTATTGTTTTCTTACTCATCATATTTCTAAGAACTTATATAATTCCTTCTTAGGATTTGCTCAAAGTTAATTATACAGCCATTGCCAAAAGGTGGTATCTTAGCAGATGAGATGGGACTAGGAAAAACTGTTGAGGTTTTGGCATTGATTTCAAGAAATAAACGGAAAGAAAGATTTGTTCTTGATGAGTCCAGGCAATCTTGCAAAAGTGTTTCTGTATCAATGTGCAGTGAAGATACGAATAACGGTGTAGCTGCTTCCATTAAAAGATCAAAAGAAGAAGATCTGCTAGTAGAAGAAAGCAAAGACTATTGCTGTTTTTGTGGGAAAAATGTGCATTCAGAAAATGAAAGGGAAAATTGCAATGATTGTGGGCAGTCCATGCACTTTGGATGTGCTGGTACACAAGGAAGAAAGCTAAAAAAGTATTACTGTGCAGTTTGTGCCACTAAAGAGGTGAGTGATTTTTTTGGGATGAATGATATTTTTCATTGAAAAAGATATGTCTTCTTCCCATCCTTTGCTTTATCATAAAAACTTGCAATTCTTTTAATCCTAAAAACTTTGAATATACTCACATCATGAAGCCCTTTTTCCTGAACTGTTTTAATTCCTTAAGGTGCTCAAAACACATTGCACTTTAATTGTGTCTCCGGAAACAATAGTGTACCAGTGGATTGAAGAAATACAAAGACATGTTAAGCCAGATGCATTATCTTATTTTGTAAGTATCTTGAAAACAACTTCAAATTTAAAGTATCTTTTTGTCACATTTCATTCTAGTTTCAATCTGTTTTGCTATTTTAAACCAGACAATACTAAACATGATCATAGAATTCAATTGCCTGTGTACTTACATGGTCTTTATGTCTTCATGTCATATTTGGTCTGATGCTTGATCTCCATTTTGGGTGTTTTGAAACAATAGACACACGCACCACAAATCTGTGTGACTTCTTTAGACCATCACTTAACTAGCCTAGTTTCACTGATCAAAATTCTTGTCAATGAGTATTGAGCATAAGTAGTGAATTGCCTTCAATAAGAAAATGTCAAAATTTAAGGTGGCAATCAAGGGAATAATATCAAAAAGAGAAACCAGAAGATAGCTTATTTTGACAGTGTCCTGTGCCTTTATTACGTATATGTTTTATTTTATCAAATTATCTCTGTATGATGTATATTTTAATAAAATATTCAAATTATTACTGAACTTTGTTGATTAGTGAAATTGCACTATTTTTCAACATTTCAAAGGAAATGTCTTAAATATGTGCATCTTCACTACATGTGCTGTAGTTTTGGTTTTAGAATAAATACTTGAATGAAATAAATATTTTCTTTTACAAGCTATACCTTGGTGTTGCAAAAAGTGGATTCATTCAGCCAGCCATTCTTGCAGAGTTTGACATCATTATAACAACTTATTCCACTCTTAATTCTGAGTTTCATCATGTGAAAAGTGAAGAAGGTAAGGCAGCATGTAATAAGCAACGTTATATAACAATTCAATAGCAGAGACTTGAGTATGAATTTTTAACATAGTTTTCTTCATTTTTAAATTCGAAATTTTTTATGACAGTTGTAAATTTTGATGTATTCAATTGTACAAAATATTCATTATTTAAGCTCTGGCTTGCGGTTTCTTGACTTTTGGAGCATTTCAGCTTAATATGCCATTTTCTGGCCAATTTAAGTTCAGTCTGATCTCTTAATTTTGTTGAACGTTTGCTTAACGTAAGAACATTTTGTTTCATGTCTTTCTTGGCCTGCAAGTGTTTCTTATGTGTTGTTTTGTTTCTCGGAAATTTGAACCTATGCAAGTGTTTTCAGTCTGAAATATTTCTTAGTTTTCAGAACTTTAGTTAAATAATTTCCTTGATAATGTGTGTTTATTTTTGTACCATTCTGGCTTTTCAAAATGCTCTTGTTGTTTCGTTTAAGCTGTACTTTCCTTGCTATTACTTACCAAAATTTCTTTTCAGTCTCCCTTTGTAGTCACTTTTTCAAAGCATTTGGAGCATAATATCAATTTCTTTTAGGCAGAGAGCGATCCTTGAGAAATCGCAAAAAATACGCTGCATTGCCAAGTCCCCTCACGTTTCTTGAGTTCTGGAGGGTTAGTATACTTGCATCTTATAGGGCTTTTATGCTTTGCGATTTTGCCATGTACGTAAAGCGATTTTTTATCAAATATCGTTTTAATTGCACTTTTATATTATTCAAATATCATTCCTCTACCTATTGCCTGCTTCTTTTTCTGTTACTGATGATTATTTTTAAGACCCATGTCGAGTGTTAAGCTGTCTTTGGTCCTAATGCCGATTTTGTCGGCAAAAACGCCTTATCTGCGTAAGGTCTCAACCAGTGTACCTGCTATCAATTATCCTTATCTTTATGATTGATAACTTTATTTTGTTAAGGTTTGTTAAAAGTCAAGGCAGTCTCCTCAGGTCTCAATGTCTCTGTTGGAAAGTGATTAGTTTCTGTATGCTTTATTTGAGTATTTGATTCGACTTAAAGTGAATTTGCCTTTATTTTATCGCTTTGATTTTAGGTCTGTATGGATGAGGCTCAAATGATACAGTGCACAACAACAAGACTGGCTGAAATGGTTCTAAGAATAAGTGCTGTTCATAGATGGTGTGTCACCGGTACCCCTGTCCAAAGAGGCTTAGAGGGTTTGTATCGTCAATTTAAGCACATAGTTCATGCGAATGTCTTTCTCAATACTTTCACACGAATCGAAAACTGAATGATGGAAACATCTTATGAGATTATCGTATGATTTGTACATAATTGCCAGCGGTATTATTGATAGTTTTTCAGAATTTTTATAATCGCAATCGTATATCGTATCTTGTGTTCACTGATTTTAGATGTTTATGGAATGCTGCTTTTCATTGGCTTCTTCCCTTATTGCTTGAAGTCGTGGTGGAACAAACTTCTTCGTGAACCTCTTTGTCATGGATATACCAAACCTTTGTTTGATGTATTAGCACGTGTCATGTGGCGAACAGAGAAAAAAGATGTTTTGGACCAGGTAATATGTTGTAATCTGTTTTCTTTGGTATTGATCTTTACTACATTTCCATGCCTTATTTGCAGATTTCTATTCTAATGATAACTGTTTTATTTTAAACCGAACTTCTGTTTGATTGATGGTTTAGACTGTTTCAGTCTTAACACTATTTTACTGCTATTGTGAAAAGTTACTTCCTTAACTCTAACATATTGTGTTGTGCACAAATTGCTAACCCCATTGATAGCTAGAAGCGCAATCTTTCTATGAATTAGGGTTTGGCTTATAAGCCTTGCAGTAACTAACTGTGAATGCATTTAATATGTCTCTGCAATGTTATCTTAATATGTATTTAGATGATCGTAAGCCACTCTATCCTCTACTAGGTCTTAGCTGTTATCTTTTTAATTTTCAATAAGAATAATAATATACTTACATTGAAGCTAGAATCACGCTACCTTGTTAGACGGAGGCTTCCTCGTTCATCCTTGGTTTTCAGTTTTTCTTAAAATCTTGTTCGGTTTTTCGTAGATTAATCTTCCAAAGCAAACTGAAACGTTTGAAATGCTAACGTTCACGCCAGTAGAGTGGCAGTTTTATAAGAGACAGGAAGAGCTTTGTACTGCAAGTGCCTTAACGGTAATTATTTTGCTTGTTATGATAAAACCAGAGTGTTCAAGAACCATCCTGTAGTGAATTTAACGTTGTGATATATCATCTTCGGATGGATATAGATATATCATCTTTCGTTTTGACACTTTGAAGCAGCAAATCAGTGATTGCTAGCACCAGTGATAAAGCAACTCTATTTCTCTTTTTATAAAAGCAGCCATTCAGTTGATGTTATCTTACGAAATAGTTGAAATAATTTTCAGTGGCTCTTTATTTGCCCGGAAGATTATGTCAATCATCATTCAGGATTCAAGAGGAAAGTTTCTTCGCTATTTTATTTTGATGTCTTAAACTAAATTGAGAAGGTTGACGAATGATGTAGTGTACCCTTGGCGACAACGAATAAGTCTTATAACATATTATTATCATTGGAACGTGGCTTGTTTTGTTTAAAGCTTTATTCACAATTTGACAATGGCAGTTGAAGACATAAGCATATTCAATCGTTCGATGTGAATTTTTACTTTTTTTGTACCCTTTTTCTAGGAAATTGAAAAGTGGAAAGAAAAGGAAACAATTCTCAGTAGCTTGGACAAGTCAAGCCTTCACAGTGTAGGAGTTTGCATATGATACCGTTTTTTGAAGCATGTTGAAATTCGACTCCAAATGTTTGCAATGAAATTTTTTCAAAGTTTGGCAAATAAACTTCACAGAGCATATCTTTATATAGCTTGTTTTAATCAATTTAAAACAGCTATGAAAGAGTTGACATTATATGGAGATCTTTTTATAATTTACAAAACCTAGAATTTCAAACAGCTCTTCTAGCATTGATAACATAATATTTATTGCTTATTTTCAGCTGCTTGCACCATTATTGCGCCTTCGCCAAGCTTGTTGTCATCCTCGTGCCGTTCGCGATGGGCTTCTTGGAATCCAAAAGAGGTATTTGTTGCCATTAGTATTTTTACGCTGAAATAGTAGAGACTGCAGTCACTGAAATAGTAGAGACTGCAGCAATGCTTCGTTTTTGGTATTGTATTGCATTTTCTCTTTCATTTTCATTAGAACTTTTCACAGCAATGAAATTTCAATCGCGCAACAAGAAACGTATGTGCCAAACGTTTGGAGACGACCGAATCTTTGGGCAGGCAAGGTCGTCTTTTCATTTAGGAATTTTCAATCTTTTTCATCAAAACAAAGGTTCCCGACTTGCGTAGACAAAAATAGTTCGTTTTCTCAATTGGGCTCTGTAACTAGGTGAGAAGTTAGCGGTCGCTGATTAGTTAAAAAATCAAAAGAAGCAATCAAACGTGTCCTTCTTCCTTCACGCTACTTTCGATCCACACTTAGATATAAACTTTCTGCTTTCTCTCGGTCATTATGCGACGTTTATACTCGGAAAAGTGTCGGCCAAAAGTTTATTTGGCAATGATAAAAGTCAAATATTACGTTTACGCACTATTACCGTCGATGGAACACCTAGTTTATTTGCTATACTAAATAATGTTTTCTTACAGTCATCTAACTATGGACAAACTGCTTGAAGGGTTGACATCCAAAGCAAAACTCGAATGCGAAGAGGCACATAGACAGCTAATGTGTGCGTTAAATGGTAGGCCATTTACTGTTGCAACTATTGTAAGCCACAATCTGCAAACTGAATTGTAGACTACAAGTTTTTGTATTTTTGGAAGTTCTAAACTCAGACTTTACGCAGTCTTTTTGTTACCTATTTCATTTCAATTCATTTTTGCTTTTTGCCTTACTGGTCACTATATTTACATTTTTGAGTTTCAATTTTTCCGTAACTATCTACAGTGAGCTTTAGCATAAATAAATGCAGCGATAAATTACATGTCAGTTGCTTGGGATACTTGAAGAATGAAGTATAATTATAACTATTCAACAAACAAGAAGACCATCAATTTATTTGTATGATTTTCGAACATTTTTTGAACAAATCTTTTAAAAGTGACGTGCTACACAGTCTGAATTATGCTTTGAAGACCAAACATTATGATCTTGTTTGTTTTGTTTCCAGGGTTAGCGGCTATCGATATGATTGAAAGCAAGGTCAGTCTTCCTTTTTTTAAATTGATTCTTCTAGCAACTAGTTTGTGGTCTGAAATAGCTCATTCTGTCTCCCATCATTGTGCTTTTGCGATACATTTCAGTATGGTTTTGCTTCTATTCTTCCTATACATCTTTAGAACATGTCTTTCAAAACCAAGTCTCCTTACCAGTCTTACATTTGGAGCCTTTGGTAGGAGCAGTGTTATGCAAAATCATTCCTTTGCCTGAAGCTTTTAGATACAATGCAGTTTAGTACACGGAAATGTTCCAGTAACGGGCAACTTTAAACAAAGACACATCAAAACAATTGGCAAGCAATTTTGTCCTGTAGCCACTTTCTTGTACCATTTACCTCCAGGCAACGGAGGAGGCTCAACAGAATAGTGCCACAGCTCTAATAGGTTTGCTTATAATGGAGGTTGAAATTGTGTCACTCTTTCACTGCGCTGTATCATAAAATGCAGAGTCATAAAGAGTACTTGAATATTTTTGTCACTGTATATCCAGCCATCCAACAGAATTGTGATCTATCCACTTGATTTCAATGATGAATACGTGGTTATGTCCGTTAGACCTCACTGTTAAGATCTGATAAAATTATCACCAATCCATAAGGGATTTTTCAGTCGCACTATCACAATACGTTCCAAGCCTAAGCCTAAATCCAAGGTTTTTCAGATTATGAGATACCAAAATTTGTCTTATTTGATTCCATTCGCAGAACACTAGCTGTTATGGTGCATTTGTCATATTAGATTATTGATCAATATTTTATTTAACTTGCCTTATCACTGCTATCTAGCTTGTTCTAATATAAATTTTCCAACAAAGATGATAAAATTGTTCACAGTACTAATAAATTGTGACTGTTTAGTTTGCCAATGCGGTCACCAAGTACAGAGAGGCAATTCAATCTTGGGCAGCTCATAAGGATATCTTCAGAACTGATCTTCTCCAGGTAGTTATTATATCTATTTCTGTTTGTTGGTAGATAATTTCAGTGAAGGTGTTTGGCTGATTTGTCTGATTGGACTGGTTGAACTGTCTCGACTGATTGGCTCGACTGATTGTAATGGTATGATTGATTTGACTGACCATTGATTGATTAAACACATAAACTTCTTTAAGGCAGCTTTCTACTCCTATTTGGCGAGTTCCTGAATGATTACTGATTCAAAAACTACGCTCTTCATATGTCCTTGCCCTGAGTCAACATTTCAAGCCAACCTCCTTTATGTATTGAATTGATTTACTCATTTTTGCAATCGTGAATGCTTGCAGCTTACAGTTTTAATTTTTTCACAGAAACTTCACACCATCAAAAACCTTTCTGAAACTTTACATAAATTAAGCCAGTGCTCCCATGCGCTTTCAGATGGCACAATAGACAACGAGGTAATGTAGCTTAGAAAGTGAAATACGAAAATCTTTGTCGATGTTCAATTCCAATATACAGATATACAGATATTAACCAAATTGAAATAGTAACAGAAAAAGTTGCCAACCAATGTCGTGTATACATTAAGTTAATGCAGTAGTATCATATATACATTAAATATGTCAAAAATGTCAATAAGTATGATTTGTGTAAAGTTGTGTGCTCCACCTGCTTTTGCTCAGAGAAGGTGAAAAACAGGAGTTACCAGCTGATGGGACAAAAGTCATCTTGACAAAAATGGCAGTCCTGACGCAGAGTGGACTGTAGAGTTTTGATTAGATATTTAATACAAATATGTTGGTATCAAACGTGACTTCTTTATTTTCACTTCACTGTTTTCTTGCAATAACAATCCTTATACTAAAGAAAAAGTGAAGATTATCAAAAGTTTGCTCATTCTTACTTAGCAATTATTTGGTCTAGAATATGTAAGAATTGATTTTATAAATGGAATTCAAGGTCCCTAAAGCACATTTTACAATAGTATTGCCATTTTCTCCTTCACTTAAACCCTGAATATTTTAATTGGCCTAAAACTTTGCTTCTTTCCGTGTGTCATTTGGCCTTTAGTTTCAATCCCATAATTGCCAAGCTAGATTGGTTCAAATTAACTTCTAACTTCATTATAATAATGGTCTCCCTTCATGTCTAGGCCGATGAGCTAGCCAAGGAGTATATGAAAAAACCGGAGTCACAAATTGCATCCGCTCAGTCGAGGCTAGCACCCGTGGAATCGAATCTCAATGATGAGAAATCAGAGGTCGATTGGAAAGACCCATGGTGGATTCACATAATGAGCCATTTCAATTCTCCAGAAGACGAGAATTTATTTATTGTAAAGATCAAGGACGAATTACGATCGCAGCTTAGTTCACCCACATTTATGCAAACCCGGTACTAGTATTGTTGCAGTTCATAAATTGTAGCATTTTAAACATTGACTAACTTGATATTGTGAATCCATACATCATTTGTCGTTTATTTAGTCCAGTTTATTCATAATTGATAGCTCTAAACAACCAAAGTCCGCATTATGATTCTTTAAACTGGAATCTGCATTATATTTTTATGACATTTTTAGTTGCCTTATTTTATCTAGGTCTCTAAATATAATTTGTCTCTGATTTTCTTATATTTTTTACTTTTTAAATAATGATTTCATAATTTAACGTACTTACCATCAATTAATTGTTCTTATTTTTAATTTTAACCAGTGCCGCTTGCTTCTTTTTTGTTTCAACGGTTGTAATAGTGATATTCTGTCAAGACAGGCTAGCCAAAAGAGGTTATCTATAGAATGGACATATTTGTTACTCTTATTTGCAACAATTTTATTTATTTTTATTAGTTAAAGTATTCACTTTTTATCAATCCTTACAATTAATTGTTCTTAATTTCAAATTTAACAAATGCCGCTTTCTTTTTATTTTTTGTTTCAACGATTGTTAAAGGCTAGCCAATCAACACAACAATTATGAAATCAGGCTAGCCAAATAAGATTACGTATGTAATGAACATATTTGTTACTCTTGTTTCTTACAATCGTATTTCCTATTATTTATAGTTATAAATTTTCGAATATTTCGATTTTTAGATTCAAGACAATCGATGGACTTCGCTACCTAATGGTGTCAAAGATAACAAAGCTGGATGTATGTACTTTTGAAATTAGCTCTCAAAATCAATTTAATCGTATTCTATCGATTCTCCCAACTCATGATTCCGTAAGCTACTTAACAAGGTTTTCCTTTTTGTGAAACTGGTTGTGTCTTTAAATCCAAATGTCCTTTGGTGACAGTTTTCTATTGAAGCATTTGTCATTATCGTTTCCAAAAATTCAGGCTTGTGGATGTTTTCCAGTGTCATTGGAACAAAATTCATATTTGTAGGGATGCGTATTGTATTGCTTCCTGTTTAGTACACTGTTTTAAGGGAAATTCAGTATAATGTGACGTTTGAAATTCGTTAGAGGGGGTCTAGCTTCCCAGCCATCGCCACCGATTGGCTTGTTATTGAGAAAATGTTTGCCCATGTTAAGTCACTTAATAATGATACTTGATTTTCCCTTCAGGAACTCCGTGATGAACTTAAAATATCTCTTAATGACCTACAAAAGGAACCTTCTAAAGAAATGATTTTGACAACTGCTGCTTGCTGTCTAAGACCTGTCGAGGGATCAAACGCAGAAAGGCCAGTTTATACTTATGAAGACTGAGTCGTTTGTTTAGTTTTTTTATCTTATCTCTGTGAGAACGTTTCTAAAATGCCGTTGCTTCAAGCTTACAGTGTTAATTTATGTTGCAGGAACCCTGACTAAACAGTCTTAATTAACACAGCGTTATTTCTTCAACATTATTCTAGAAGCTGGCAATTCTTTATAACATTCACGTTTATGTTTAGGCCTAAATTGTTAAGTCATTATGGTAGCTCTTCCCCATTATCTAATTCTTAGTATCCTATACTGAATGATAGCTTAACAGAATAATAGCTATTAAGAGGAAAAGCAACTCCCCAAAATCATCCTGCTGGATAGTTAAATGTATTGAAATATACTAAAGTGTTTCTGTTTTAACCCTTACAGGTGTCCCTTTTGTAAAGCAGATGATATCTTTACGGAGTACGAGAACAACCTTTTTTCCCACAGAGGAATGAAGAAAAATGAGTATGTGCGACAAAAGTTACGACTCAGTATTTTTCTATATATTGATTGAGAGATTTGCAAATATCTCTCTAAAGATATGATTGGCCTTCTGGAAGAAATTTTTATGAATGAATCCCTAACTTTCTCACACTACCGCTGGAATGTTGAACGATATGCTTATACAAAAAGCAAAAAATGCTGACTCTTGTTTGATATTGCACGTTAATAAAGATTTTGGTCTCGTAATCTACAAGCCGCTACATTTTTCAATAATGACCAATAAATTTGAATGTTTTATAAAGTTTCTCCGGAAGCAGTTTTGCTAAATATTCATTCCAGAAAATAACGTGAAACAAAAGAAAGCTGGAAATCTATTTTGATATTTTCATTTCCGTTTTCTACGTTGCTGATGCAGGACAGTGGAAGGTGATGACAACAAAAGATTTGGTGGTCTTAGAGCAGAGACTGAGCTCGATGTAGTTTTAAAGACAATTTATTCTATGGCAAGGCAAAAATGTATGTGGAACGGTTTTTATTGTCTATAAAAAACCTCGCATTTTTGCCACAGCTACTTACTGCTGGCGATAGAAGATTTCTTAAGATTTGTTTTATTAAACTTTTCTGATTCTATCAAACTTTGCGGAATTTAGGTTTCAGCTCTGTCTGACGAACCGCAATCAAACTCAAATATGACAAATGCATTGATAGCTTTCAATGTTTAAAGCCAAGCTACATTTTATTTTCAGTTCTTTTTTCCACCTTCTTGAATTCTTTGGTATTATTATGCATAAGTTCCTTCTTTATTGATTATTCTAGTTCTGCTTTGTAATCTTTGGGGTTGAACTCACTCTTTCTCTAAATGATATATGCATAGAAAAATAAGATACATTTGGTAGAACTAGTTTCTGATTTAAGATTCCTTTCATAGACTATGCTGAAGGAAAATTTAGTAAAATATTTGTGTAATGTTAATAATATCTGCTGTTCATATCTTTCTGCTGTTCATATCCACCCATTTTCAGTAAAAAAGGTAAATTTTAACTTTATCAGGAAGATTAAATTCTTACGCGTTGTATCTTTATTTGCAATATTTCATCCAGTCATTATCAACTGATCGAGTATTGTCTGCTGTTTTACTATAATCTGTATATTTAAATGAAATTCTATATATCATCGAAGCTATGAATGCAAAGCTTAGGAACCAGTGCAGAATTAATTTTGTGTGCATGAATGATTACATCTCATTGTCTAATTTTTTATAGCCGTTGATCTGAAGTTTCAAAGCCAAACAAAAGCTCATCTGAAGTATATGGACTTGTTGAAGCAGGAATTCAAGGTATGTATTTTCTCTTTTTATTGCCTTTTCATCAATAGCATTTTGATTATAAATTACTGAAAGGAATAGCTTATCTTTTTTGGGAGTAGGGTTCCATGCTATTGTCTGTTGGTGAAATTGTCACAAACTTGCATAATTTAATGCAAAATTAGTTTCTTGCAAGAAAATGATTACTATTTCAATTTTTTTAGTGCATCTATCATCTTATATTGAAGCACAAAGCAGTTTATGGTTTCTGAACCTAATTGGTCATTGGGTATTTCTGGTGTTTCAGCCATGATTTGCAAAGACAAATTATGTGTTGATTTTTTTTTTGAACGCATTATATTTTCATAAGCAGTCACAAATAATTAAGAAAAAACCTTCACGTTGTTGCTTATGATGAAGCTAGAATAAAAACGGGACATGTCACCATGATTGTAAAACTAACAACGAAGCTACAAGATTTGATACATACGCTTACATTGTACTTTATAGACAATTATGTTTTTCAGTGTTTGAGAAACTTGTGGTTTGCATTGCACAAGCGTATTTCGGCTTGCGATGAACTGGAGATGTCGATAATTCGGATGAGGCTTAGATACGAGGATGAGACGTCCAATGAAAGCTACATCATCGATAAACATGAGGTATATTAATCTTTCATTTCAGAAAGGGCTATTATAATGAAAGAAGGGAAGTGTTATAGTTGAAGGAACGGGGATGTAATAAAGGAAAAAAGGGGGTGTATTGGTGCAAGGCAGGGGGTGTTATAATGGAAGAAAGGGGGATGTTGTGATTGAAGAAAAAAGAAAGTAATAGTGAATGGAAGAGAATGATGTGATGGAAAAAGGGGTGTTTAGGAGGTGACATTGGCAGTTACATTGAACAGAGGAGGATGTTATTTAACGGGTAACAGGGACGTTTTTGCGGACGGAAGGAAATTTGTGTTAGAACTTCTGGTATTTACCTTGGAACCACAAGGCTACATGCATCCTTTTTCAGAAAAAGTTTTTGCCGCTGCCCTCTATTTAAATCTTTAACGTTACGATTTTATGAACCCGTCAAACAAGTCATAGAAAATTCTCAAATGGTTGGAAACAAGAGAATTGGGAGCTCGTGTTAATTTCGAAAGTTATGGAAATCACAATTTTTGCACACTTTGGAAGCGGTGTGACTGTAATTATATATAAACTGCCCTCCTTGACCTAAATGGACACTTATTTGTATTGCTGTTTACAAGTTTAGATATTTTCGTGGATCTGCAGATCGAATGTACTTGTTTTTAACGATTTAATGTCGAAGGTGAACAGGTTTGATATGCTTTGTAACTCGTGTTTGAAGCGTAACTTTTTTTACCTGCAACCCCACAATGAAAACAGTGTGGTTTTGACAACAACAGCGATAAGCAACATTTGTACAGGTCATTTCTATTGATTTGACATAGCAAAAGGTTCAGAAAACGAGCCTGTCACTAACAGAAATAGCTTTGAAGCACATTGTATTCATCTTATGCTGTAGGTGATCTCTTAAAGGAAATTTAGTTTTATGTAAAAAATGGTTTTTCAGTTTAACTTGCAAAATGCCATTTTTATGAATATTTGGTTATAAGTATTGTGGTGAAAAAAATTTCTTTCCCTTCACTTATCCTGTATTTATTGAAAGTTGAATGATTTCTACAAGGCTAATTAGGCTCCCTATTAGCTTATACATATAGACCCCTTTTTTCGTTTTTTAATGTCGTATTTTTTTCAGATTGGCTTCCAACGCTTTAAGCTTCAAGCTGATAGGACAGCCGCTCTGCACATGCTCGGCAAGAAAAAGGGCCAGCTTTTCTACTTGAAAAATTTAGAAAAGGTATATTACAACGACTTCATCGTTTTTGGCTCTATTTAGTAAAGTGCCAATTTAATATTTTTCGTTCTACATTTTATCTTGGTCTCAATTTTACGTGCGAAAGAAACAGGCATGAAAGCACTGATCAAGGAGCTAGTATCGTCCATTAGGAAACTCGTACCTAATTTTATGATACATTATAAATACTTTGAATAGTGATTAAATGGTTTTGTGCTGTCATAAGCAGTAAAAGTGTGTACCGTGATAAAACCGTTTATAGTTATAGCGACGTTATTTCACAAACTTCATTAACCTGATGCAAACCTCATTCAGCTTTAATGTACATCATGTACATCACCATTAGCCAATATTTGATAAGCAACAAACAATAGATGTTGCAATATGAAATAATTGGTATTTTGAATGACGGGTCAAAGTGAGATTACATTGCTATTTGTATCACAAGTTAGTTAGTTAAGATATAAACTGCGATATCAATAAAAACAATAATAGAAAACAATAAGTTTTCCTCTAGTACCTTTACGGTGAATGGGCGAATAAAGGACGTGGTTAGCAAGAATTTCTTCAGGGCCTTGCCTAAAAGCACTTATTGTCATCAAAATGTGCAGTGAAAAACTTTTCTTAAAAATTAGGTATGATGAAATTCTAGTACAGTTTAAAAGTTTTGGTCCTTGCGATAATCTAAAACAACGGAAAGTATTCATATTGTTTCGTTTGCCTTGCTTCAAATAACAGGTCATATGGACAACTCCTATCAAAATTCCTTGTGGTATGCTGATGAAGTAGGCAGTATTTCCTTATTTTGGAGTAATGTAAGATATTTGGGGCTTCAGCTTACTGCAAAATTATTTAATAGAATACTTCTTTTGTCAAGTGGAACATTTACACCATGAAATGTCAAATATGTAACAAATGGAGACTTCTTAGGAAAAAATTACAAAATGCAATTCACAAATATGCATGTTATTAAATTCAGGCGCAAAGTTCGACTCACGATAGCAATCCAGACGCCTGTCCAATCTGTAAAGATTCTCTGGGAAAACAGGTAATATACTCGTTCGTTTTTTGATATGATCAATGAAATTTGCTATCAGTCTTCGTATTGTTTACAGTACTAAGAGAACCCTTGCATCCATTCAAAAGGATTGCGTATCTAACGTCCAAAATAGTCACGATGTTTATGTTTTTACGTGCAGGTGCGATTCTGGCTGTGTAGATCGCACAGCAAAGTTTTGTGGATAGGATAAAACAACATGTTCCTTTAAACATAAGAAATACCCTGGATACCAGAGCTTTATGAACCCGGGGATAAAGTATTATAAACGGTTGCAGTGTCAAAGACTCGCCCAAAAAGTGTTTCAGAAACTAGTTTCGAACTTTATCTTTTATGCTACCTTTTATGACGTTTTTCCAGATGCAAATCTTACTTTAAGCTATTCTTCACCTTGCCAGCAGAATGAATCTGGCTTGCTTTTAATTCAAAATTATTTATTTGGAAGTCAATAAATTGCTTCTTTTCTGTATTTACTCTCTTTAGAATATCACATTTTTATCACACCATTTTTTACAGTGGGGTGTCTTTTCCTGTGGCCATTGTTTCTGTTGTATGTGTATAACGAGCTTGAACAGAGACCAGGCATTCTTGCTGTCCGACGGAAAGGTGTCCGATTGGACTGTCCGATGTGTCGGGAGCCTACATTATCCGAAGACATATCATTTGTGGTCATGGGAAATAGAAAAAGTGAAGCTGAGAATGAAATAAAAGTCAAGGTATGACTTATCGTAAAAAATACAGTAGTTCATCTTCTGCTTTTTTAAGGAAAAGGTTTTAATTCGTAGATACGATCAAAATAAATATCAGGAAGTTCCAATGTCCCCGTGGTTCCATAGATTTTGCCAGAAACTAGCGAGCCTCTTACTGAATCTATAAGTTGTAATTAAATGCAAAGTAATACGAAAACTTGATACTATTTAACTTTTACTTACTTATTTTGGCTCAGTGAAGGGAGCGTATTATGAAAAATCCTTTAGTAATCCCCGATGGATAATGAAGAGTTAATGGCTCAAAGTAAGAATCGAAACAGTTGTTTAAATAGGTCTTGAAACAATCATGATTTAAATCAAGCTGCCATGGCTCTAATGTTAAGATTCAAACTTACTTCCCATGATAAAGGGCAGCTACTCAGTGAAAATTGAAGCTGTTATCAGAAAGATCCTTGAAATTGGACAAAATGACCCTGATGGAAAAATAATTGTTTTTTCAACGGTATGTTATATTTCAAATCAATATTATTTTCTTTTCGCGGGTGAATTCAGCATTCTGTGTTCTAAGATTCTGTTCTTATTTCTTTTGCTGCTTGGAGATCTTTTGTAAACATCATTTTAAAAGTGATTTTGTAATCAGAAGAAACCTTATTAGTAGCGGAAAGCATTTTAATTATTAGATTATTTGGTAGCCAGTTTTTTCACTAATCTATCGGGTATTTATAGATATCAGCATAAAGAAATTTGAACAACCAAAAATCGAACGTAAATATTTAGTTTTCTGAAATGTATTTACAGGCAAATACCTAGTACCAAGTAAAGTAACGTATTTGTTGTTTTAGTTGTAACAATTTGGAATAGTCTACCACTTATAAAAACTATGAAAAAAATTCACATTCCTTTTTGAGCTTACTGGAAACACTGCTCTTGGCGAATTGATATTGCTGATGTCTTGAATATACATTTGTATCGAGCTTTGAGTCGTTAAATGAACTTTTTGATAATTATGATGACTGTACTTTTAGGTGACTTACTAGTATAGTTTTTTTTTATATCTGTATTCCTCGGTCCTTTGTTGTTGTGTATGTTATTTACCATAAACTGTTGTCATAATAAAGAATTTTTAGGTAGTTTTCCTAGATCTGTTTGATCTCTTTTTCTTTCTCAGTGGCAAGATGTTCTGGGGATAATTGCTCAAGCATTGGCTGAGAATGATATTGTTTTCAGATATGGGCTAGGTTCGAGACAGAAGTTTCGAGTATGTGCTCTGAATATTTTTCTTGATTTCTTTTTTGGTAATTAGATTTTGTATAAGTAGCATAGCAGTCATGCTGATGAAGCATAGAAAAAACAAAACAAGTATACATTTTGACTCTTAAGATTGCCTTTTACCTGATCCCTTTGTAAAGTACGCTCAGCTTTTGTTTTTTAATTATAGTAAAGAAACATTTTTTGCCTAGGGTTGTCTAAGCGATTTCAAGGTGCTTCCTTATGTAAAAGTCCTTCTGTTGCCATTAAAACGAGGCTCTAAAGGTCTCAACATCATCGAAGCTACACATGTTATCCTGACTGAACCGACTCTGAATCCAGCAAATGAGCTACAAGCTATTGGTAGGGTGCATCGAATTGGGCAAACAAAGTAGGTTTTTAATGAACGTTCATAAACTATTACCCTCAGTAGGTAATCATATCTAGGAATTCACTTGATATAGGGATCATTATTGTCACTGCAGTTTCAGTTCTGTCAAGACATGATTACGGTTTTAAAGAATTGATAAATTATTAACGATAAATGATCTTTGAAGCACTCTTTTTGTTTCCAAGTCTATTTTAGACTCCGAAACGTCTCATCAATTATATTCTGCTTTATACTAGGCCAACGTTTGTTCATCGGTTTATTGTACGAGATACAATAGAGGAGAGAATTCGAGAATTTTTGAAAACCAGGTCAGAAACAGAATGGATAAGGTGAGAATTGTGTAGCAAACGAGCATTATGTAATATGAATATACGTAAACCTATGTTACTATTTTTTTAAATATTTGCATAGAATAAAGGTAAATATTGAATCTGCCTTTTGGTAATACTTGCTTTTTGAATCTAGTTTTTTTCAAACCTGGCTCTGCTTGTAAGAATCCAATTACATCACAGCAAAGATAGAATTCCCTGATCTCCGAGACTTGTCCCTAATAAAAGTCATTTTCTATTTTATTTGTATATTTTTGTTCTAGTTAACTCTCCAAATAAAATATTAATTATCCGTAGGGCCACTAAAGGCAATAAGAGAATTTTGAGGGCCTGTTGCAGCTTGTAACGTACAATGTTCAAATTGTGTTTATCAACGTAAAAAATAGCACATCAACTTGTTTTCTCCGAAACCCTCCTCTGGAAATAAAGACATAGCCGTCAATTTTTCATTCTTTTTATGGCTTTTGTGTCTAAATCTTGATTTTAATTTTTTTCAAAGTAAGATAAGACAGCCTTACTTTTTCTTTTCCTTTCGAATATTTTTTTCTTTTTTTCGTAGTATTAACGATGCTGCGTCTAGTTCCTTGACTATCGGCGATTTGTCGAGCCTTTTACTAGAAAAACAGCATGACAAGAAGGAAAACATATCGCTTTTTGAGTGTGGGACTGCATCTATACCTGAGCCAGCAGCATCAGGATTGATATCGCCAGCTATAAGCTCTAAAGAGACACCAACAACTGCACCATCTGTATCGTCAATGCAGACAGCTGTTGGGAACCAAGGGAACGAGACAACTGAAGCTCGGGTGTCCGTTTCAGGGGAAGTGCCAGCTACTGTTGTAACAGAAACAATGCCACCCGAACTTGGAACTTTGGAACTGGGGACGGCATCAAGAGAAATTTCGTTGGATACAACGTCACATGTGCCCTCCGTTGCAACACCACAAGAGTCCTCTTTAATATAAACGAAATCTTCAGTATCGCGTTAATGCAGAGTTTTGTCGATCTATCTACAAAGCATTGAAAAAAAGCTTAATGTCAAAAGCATGAACAAGATGAAAGGAGACGAGAAGCATCCTCTTGCCGAGGGACTATCGGGTTCTTCGTTTGTATTGTCTCTCTTTGGATCAACGATATAGTAACAAGTTTTACAACTGACAGGCGCGATAAATTTTATAACTGATAAATTTGAAAGTTTTTACGAACAGCTTTTTGTAACTGAATCTTTAAAGACATTTTTTAATATATTGTCAGAAAGTTCTGATATTGAAAACTGGGTATAAAGTTATCTATTACTGGGTAATTGGAAGTAGCTGCTATTTATGCGTATAAAGCTACTATTACCAATAGATAATGACCTTTTAAATATAGCTGTCTAAGGTGCTTGCAGAGCTAGTTGCATTATAAACTTATGTTTACAAGAGTTTAAAGTTTCTTAAAACGAAGCAAAATTCAAATCTGAAATCTTACAACCTTTATATTAATTTCGAAAAAAAATTTTTTTTAATCGTGTAATTTCAAGATTTGTAAAAATATTTAAGCAGTCTATTTTGATGCTTTGAGTTTCACTTTTTTATGGAAAGAATATCAGCAAATGTTGCAGCAAAGTTTTTGTTGTTTTTTGTGGGGCCCTAAAGAAAGGCTTCGAAATGTTCTGTTTTAGGTATGCATTTATCGGATCGTGTTTAGGTCATTTTGCATCAAATTTGTTATGAATTGTCATTTTACACCTCCAGTAAACTGTTGCATGGTCACTAAATGTCCAAAATTGTCTGTGCACTTTGTCACCGTTGCCCATTTTCAACACAAAATCAAATACAGAGTACCGAAAATCCACGACATAAATAACTAGGTTCCAGTCCTTATCCAGCACTAAATTTCAAAATTGTTTTTTGCAAAAAAGATTGTGCCATGTAAGGATGCTTCGTCAGCAAATAAAGGATGACTCAACCCGCCATAGCAGTGGAGGTTGTAATAGACTTGCCCCAAGTCAATTTCGTGCTTCAGGGAGCAATTGATATTTGCTTCCTTCATGTGGACTTATGCAAAGATAGGAAAAGCGAAGTCCTATGCATAGGCTATTAAGATAAGATATAGCCATACGCGCATAGGCACTTGGCCTAGTTCTATATCTTATAAACCAGGCTAGAGCAACAATAATCCACTAGCAAAGCTCAGAAGATCTTTACCATAGTCATCTGCTATTGCATAGTTGGTTGTTTAATGTCAGAAGTGAGCGTTTTATTGCTTACTATTTTGCTCGGTTCGTCTCTTTCTCTTATAAGTTTTTTGGCGGGTTTTTAATTCGACACTCAGAAAACGGAAAATATAATGAAGCATGTCTCACATCTTTTTGCAATGTTCACAAGAAGAATAACATTCAACGGCAGTTTTGGGATAAGAAGCCAACTGCCAATGTCACACAGAAATATCCAAATATGTACATGTACCTACTGCTATTACATAGTGTTATATCGTGTAAAGGTCCAAACATACTCAATTCTTTTGCCTTTTTTCTCCATTTATTCAAAACCTGGATAAAAGTTTTGTGGTTAAGGCTACGGTCACACCCAGTACCGTCGCAATGGGAGCGTTAGGGTGCGACACCCACTTGAAAAATTTGTTGCGAAAATGAATAGTTTTGCCATATAGGAATGCTTAGTAGGTGAATTTCAAAATTGTTGGCAAATAAAGGATGGCTCACCAATATTGTTGGGAAACGGGACCGGAAACCCTCCTTGTTGGCACCTTTCAATTCGAAAAGTTTGAGGATAAGTAAGGTTTCCTCCCTAGAAATATTCACCTCTTACATTTCTGGACAAAACACTGCAGGATATGTCTAGGGCATTCCACACCATGCGATCTTTTTAGTTTTTCTAGATAAGCTAATATCGTGCATGATGAAATCGTCGAAGTAAATGTTTGCGGGCAGTCGAGAAAGGATCATGATACATAGGTCATATGTCACGTGATTTCCAACAATTTCATGTTGAACGCACGCACGACTGATCCCATGCAGGTGTTTGCTGAGAGGACGAAGCCCAGGCAAGAAAATTGAGTAATTGAAAATGGCTGCTGCAAGTCAAGAAACAGAACAACACACTGATGAATCGCATCTAAAGCTTTTTGGTGTTTGTGTTGATGATAGCGAACACAGTGCACGGGCTTTTGATTGTAAGTATGCCTACGGTTGGTTTGTATATTTGTGAAGGTCATAGGTTGACTTAGGCCCAGATGACCGAGCCCACAATGGATTGTCTCGTCAGTTTCTGAGCAGTTGTCGTTGACCTATAGCCTATCATTTTTCTAGAATCTTCTTTTAATTTTTTGTTGCTGAAATCTATTTGGTAGCTGTTTCCCCTCTAAGTAACGAAGTGTCTCTTCCACGTTTCGTACTAAGGGCCTTGGCTGGTCTAAACTAATTGGATCCAAATTCTCAAAGTTTTTGTCTGGGTGGCAAAAAAATTTGCAGTTACTGGGGAGTATGAAGAAAGGCAGCTCGGTTATGGCTACGAAAGTTTTTGACGAGAGATTCTTCCAGACGCGTCTTTTCGTTAAGTTAAATTGGAGTGGTAACGCTGAGAAGCGTAGAAGCTTCAGACGCGGAGGACAATCATTGTCATGTGGCATGGCTTGTCAACAAGGAACGAAAGAGTCACCACTGAACATTAAAACAAAGCATCTCTGAGCCAAAAATGTCAGAGTTGCACAATCAATTTCTCTCAAGACACTTAGAAAACCTTGGTTGCTACCTAAGCACATCTTGTTAATCGTGTTTTCTGCAATAGAGGTTTTTAGGCTGAATTTCTTTCTGTGACCTAGCAAAAACTTACTGTATCATAGAAAAGGGATAGACAATTCAGTGTTAGCTTACAAAAGTTTTGAGAGCATGACTTTGATAAATCTCTTTGACTAAATACCAAATTTAACAGAGATGCTGCTTTGGGCTAAGTTCGATTTTCCCACTGGTTCACTGAAGGCATGCTTATGACCTGGGAATCAGTACTATATATATATCTATTCATTTTCCATAGATGATAGGGATTTAGGTTATCAGATTCCTCTTACTTTTTGTTAACAAAACATATGATTGTGGTGATACAGTTTATTCTGAAATTTGAGGAATACTTTGTACTTTCAAAAGTAAGCTTCAGGCTTTTGCCGAAAAGGCGTGCGATCGCACCAGCACACCCTGGTGCACGCCTACTGCTTTCGAGGAGTGCAAAATATCACACACTTTCTTTTATTCTGAGAGCCAAATTCTCTATTAATGATTGGTTTTGTTGGTTTTCGAGATCGGTTTAAATGTAAATCTTTCCTTGGTACTATTACTTCATGCCATTTCAAAAAGGCTTAACACCTTATCAGAATTGCAAATTAAGAAGAAAATTTTGAAATAATCATAGGACTAATCTACAGTGGAATCTCGATAAAATGAAACCTGGCTATAACTAATTTTCCGTTATAACAAAAATATGTCTGGCCCCTTGGATTCCGCCGATCCCCTTACAAATTCCCTCGGTGTAACAAATCCCATATATAACCAACTCTCATTATTACGAACCAAATTGTATGTCCCTTCATCATGATTTTCCTCGATATGACGAACGTTACTATAAATTTTCAATGTTATTTTGGCCTACTTTCTCCCCGGTGTATATTTATCACTTTTTCTCAGGGGAATAATTAATTTCATCAGCAAAACAGACATTGGCAAACATGCACTTTTTATGATGCAAAAATGGAAAAGAGATTTGTGCAAAAGTTTACAACTTTCCAAGGCTTTATGGCATTTCAGTGAACAAATCCAAACACAAAAAGACTATAACAGACATTTTTGTCTCCGAATTTTATAAGGAACATTAAATGTTGTTAACAAGATTTGTTGATTTTGCTACCCATATACAGCCCTCTCTTCAGACTTGTGCCATCATTATCTTTAATGCATTATCTTTATCGATTATCAACATCTGGCCAGTCAGATACAAAAAAAGCTGTGATGCTTGATAACCGAGGGCCCTCGGGGCATGGATTTACACGCAAAAATGGTCATTACAACCAGATGAACGCCAAGAACCCAATGACTCTGCTGAGGATATATTATTGAAGCTGATGAAAACTATGTAGAAACTTGCTCAAGTCATCAGAAATGACACGTTTACTTTGGTAAAATGTTAGTAGTGATGCTAAGGATTCAGTGAAATAAATTTCATCAAAATTATTGGTGCCAACATTTTCGTGTTGACAATTTCTGCGTAGATCTATTTTGGAAACCATAGATTTTTGCGAAAAAATGTCACACGCCACCACACGCCTGGATTTTTTCAGGCGTGCTGTTGTTAGCACGCCTGCCATATTTTTCCCCTGAAAACCTGAGCTTCCTTGTATTTTGTGTTCCTTTTTCAAAAGTTCTTGTTTTTCCTCTAAATTTTTTTTACAAAAATTGCATTGTTAATCTCCATTTCTGGAAGGCCACATTAATCAAAGCAATTTGGTTCTTCCTTTCTGTGCAGAGTGCAAAGCAAGTGCTGAGTTTTGCTGAAACATAGAGAAAAAGAACCTTTTATCTAAGATTTCATTGAGAAACAGCATATATTCGATGCAGTCATTCAGGGATTCAAGCTAAAAACTTGTAAGGAAAGCTGTAGGAAATCATTTATTGGACCTTTTCTCTCTTGAAACTACTTTTTATTTCTACGGAAGCTATATCAACCACATCAATACTTAGATCTTATTTGTCATCTAGTATTTGCTGGGCCCAACAAGGGAAACTTTTGTACTGCCTTTGTATTGCCAGAAAATTTATTTCATATGTGTCTTGGATCAGCCGTACTGGTTTTCCAATCTTTCTACTTTAAGCATTTTGATGATCTAGAAAGCATTATACTGTGGGTCAATGCAAGGTTTTGTTTAAAACTATTTATGATAATGTTGTATTCAGCTCACTAAATCAGATTTCCCACTTGAGTTATTCTTAGGAAAAGATTAGGTAAATACCATACAACATTTCAAAAGTCCTCTGCAGCTTTTGTCATTAAAAGTTTAAAAATTGTGAATAATTCTCAAGTTTGCTGAGAGGTCAGGGATATATTATTTCAAAGTGTGAGTAATGCTAGAATAAAGCCTTTTTTGTGTAGACAGAGATTCATTTGATATACATGCATGAATAGAATATTCTCTTTTCATTTAGGGTATTTGAATTCATGTCATAAAGAAGGCAACAAACTTGCAATTATACATATTCATATTCCACCTCCTTTGCCAGCTGTACCTATGTATCGTAAGTAGTATTTCTTATCTGTACATAACTATTCTGCTGTCTGGAAGCTTTCCCATATATTGTATTTATATATACTTGCTATATTACTTTCAATGTAATATCAGCTGATTAGCAAATTTCCCAATTAAGCATACCCTTGCAATACAATGTTTGTTGTTAATGAGCAGCTCCATTGTTTAATGATACATCTCCAATCTCTTGAATCAGGGGCGGATCTAGAAAGTTTTCTGACTGTCGCACACAAGGGTGTGGTCGGAAATATAATTCTTGACCACACCCATAGTTTTTAAGGATATTCGCCCCCTTCTCATTTTAGCAATCAACCCGCACATTAAATTGGCTTTATTTAGAACGTTGTCAAACGTTGTTTTTTCCTTATCTGAGTTTTCAATTGATACTACAGAGTCATTTGTGTTGTTTCTTAGCCAAGCGTAAAGCAAGAAACAACTTGAAATTCTTAAACGTATTGACACGGTTTTTCTTTTATAATCAGGCAAACATTCGAGTCGTCTCTCTCGATTTGTTTATGGTATACGATGACAAACCAGGCCACGCAAAAAATTAAAAAAATATCATTACAATGAATTTTCATAACTAACAAAATAGAACAAATGTACACAAATATTCACAAAAACCTGCATTTTTTAATAACTAATATTTTTTAATAGCTAAACCAAATCAGCGTGTAAACATGTATTTTACTCCGAAGAAACCCCTTCGAATTCAGGGGAATACCTAAGCAAATAAACTTTACCCGGAAATATCTGAAAGCCGATAAGGAACTGAGAATCCACATTGAAAGTTTTGTCCAAATAAAAATTTTTCACTCTGCCAACGTCCTGAATATTATTTATTCGCCAGAGCCAAATCGCAGGTATCACCCCAGTCCAGGGCATTTATTGACATTTGTAGGCCCTTGATCCATGGAGGAGGTAATGAATGTCGAAACTTGAAAACATCCCGTGTCGAATGTTACTCTGAAAATCTAGCGACCTTTTCTTCCAAATTACCAGGTTTAACGTACTCGTTATACATGTAGCCAGTCGACTCCATAACACAAAATTCCTTTTCGCCAGTGAAAAAATTCCCCATGCCAAGCATAAATAAGCTCAAAACTGCACAATACACGCAATGAGGACGGATTAATCTTAGCCCAGTGGTGCGACCTTACTAAAAAACATACTGTGCACCGAATTTCGCACTATCTAGCAATTTCATTGGTTTAATATTTTAAAACAAAAGCTGTGCGAATCGGTGCGAACGTGATACTAATCATACTGTGCACCGAAATACCCTAATCTAACTACATTGGTACCTTGTTGTTTTTTAGTCAGGATGCTTTGAGATTTGAATCAGATTGAATCAAGATTAAGATTTTGCTTGTGTTTATGGCCAGGTTTGAATCATGCATGATTCAGACCTTGGATCTTCCTGCTCCTGCACGGTGTTCAGTTGTCAAATATAACTGAAGCATAATTCCCAAGCAAATATACTTAAAACACAAATGGGAAATTTGCCAATAAGCGAGAATGTTGTTGTTAAGGAAAACCTCTTTCGAGACGGATTCTTAACATAATTTTAAAAGTTTGACTGTCGCATGTGCGAACGGTGCGAACGTCTAGATCCGCCCCTGTCTTGAATGCTACTAATGCCTTAGAGTGAAAGTCCCGAAACTGGCTCCTAGAACACCACTCTGGAGAAACCCTTTCCCTGTATATATAGTTATATATGTATGTGAAATTTGGATTGAAGGATTGGAGTTTCATTTTTCTGGAAAAGTTTCCTCACATTTTCCCATTAATTGCTAAAAACAACAGTGTATAATCCCTTTTTGTTTTTAGCTATCATTTTAGTTATCACTTTGATCATTCTAATATCTATTTAAATCAAATGAAAATACAATACAGATATTATAATGAGCTATATGTCAGGACGAAAGTAAATTGGGGTATAACAAGGATTTTTTTTACAATTTATTTTGCTTATTTTGTTTTATTTCGTTTACTTCAATGCACAGCTGCTGGAGCAGCCATTATAAGTGATGAATGGCAGAGATCATTGCAAGAGAGTGTTGATAATAGCCGTCATCTCATTCAAACTCTAAAGAAGAAATGCTTGAAAAGAAAGGTATATTCATAAGTAAGATATCACAATTTGCTAGCAGGCTCTTTCCACCTATGTTTTGAAGTCAAACTGCTCAATGGTGCCAAATAATCACCATCAATTTTTTCAATGCCCCCAGAAACCCGAATACAAAATTACATTAAAGTTTTTTATTTAATCTCACTCTGACAGCTTTTGATTTATAGCTGTTTGTGTTTTTTGGGTATACAGCAACAATGTTATTATTTCTTCCTTGACAAACACCTCTTTGATCATCATTGACCACTTTTGGTATAAAATTGCTTTTTATTTGGCACCATGTAGCAGTTTTGTAATTGGAATGGCCTGTTAGCAAGTTTATCACATTTAAGGCAAGGCTACAGCTACTAGCTGTATTTTTAGCTGATAGCTGTTGCTTTTTTTGTTGAATATGATGGATTTCTGTTTTTGAGGTTATCAGAACTGACAGTTTTGATCATTTTGGGGTGGGTTTTTTGTCTGTAATGCATGCATTTTCAAGAAAACCTCAAAAACAGGTCATCATTTCAACAACATCTCTCACTGCAGACTGTTTATTGTCACTGCAGCAGGTTAATTTCTCTGTTTGGCTCTTATCTTCATAATATAGCTGGCATAGCGGTTGCAGATGTTGAATGGACACGTGGAATAGAAGATTCCATTAAAGCAAGCCGCAACCTTTTACATGAATATCGCCATAAATGCAAAGCATTAAAGGTAGCCCACAAATAATGTTAGATAAACTTGTTCAAAATTAATCATTCTTATGTCTTTAAGACTTATTGTAACCCTGTTATATAGAATCAGTCGCCTTGATCATATATACATGCATTTCTAACTTTTTTATTGTTTTTACAATTAATTTAAAACACAACTGTTCTACTATTGTTTGTAAATTTTAAATTTTGTAAAACAATGAGAAAGAATTTGGACATAAATAACTGGCCTGTGTTAATTTTGAAAACTCAGAAGATAGTAGACATAACTTTAAACAAGACTGAATTTCTGTGTCTCTTGGATTCATTTAAATCTAATCAGAATTTGAGTAGTTAAGTTCCATTCAAGTATAACAATTTTCCATCAACTGAACATTGTGATTGTTGTCCATTCGTTCATAAAATGCTAAAGAAAATAGTTTTTCAACTAGAGGATTGGTTGTTTATAAACATTACCATTTTCTATTGAATATTTTGCATCAAATTAAAATGCTTGCTAAATTGGTTTTTACTCGTTAACGCTTTGCAGTCTACTTTTCTAAGCTCAAACTGATGCTTTGTCTCCAGTTGAAAGCAATTTTGGCAAGATTTTTAAACGATTTGCTAAGTCCAGTTTTGACTTTTACATTAACATAACATTTGCATCATGTTTGTTATGTTAGTCCAAAATTAATATTGTGATGTATTGAAGCATTGTTTAGAAGAATTAATACTCATATAACTTATCTAGAAATAATACTTGGAAATCTCTCAACGTTATCTGTACTTCCTTAAAATAGCAGTTTTTCATAAACTTGGAATATTTTGATGTTGTTCGTTTGACGGTGTGGAGTTGAATAAGTCAATTATTTCATCAAGGCCTGTGAATTGTTGTTGATAATGTGCGAAATGATGCATTGGAGCCTGGAAAATCTAACATTCCAACCCGTTTCTCAGAGCCATTTATTGGTACTGGCCACGCCCCATTCTACCTGTTTTCCGACCAAATCAAGATCAGAAACATCAAATCAAATCTTGTGTGTTGCTTGTAATAACATTAAGTATTTTATCTCAACTACGTGGAACAATCTGTTGTTTGCATTACTTTCGGTGTATGCAAAAATTGTAGTCAATTACCATGTTCTGTTATATATCTAGACATCATCGTTAATGTTAGCGACTTGAATACTTTTTCTTATGATTGTTTCAGTAGTAACCATTAATCGTTTTCACAACGTCGATTTACCTATGGGCAATACAGAGTTGAGCAAGTAATGGTGAGCCATCTATATATAACAGAACAATTTACATTTAGTCCATTTAATATTAACAAATTGATCCATATAATAATCATTGGTATTATTGTTCCCTTCTTTAGATACCCTATATCATATTTGCGGAAACAGACCAAGGAAGTCCTGGGGCAGAAATCGCAAGAATTGCCAAAGATAACGGGATTAAGATGCTTATAATGGGTACTCGTGCTCATGGTGCGCTTAAAAGGGCTTTTCTTGGAAGTATCAGTGACTATGTTGTCCACCATGCACACTGTCCTGTAACCGTTGTTCCGCCTGCAGACAAGCCAACTGAAGAACACCCACAGTAGAACAATGGTCACCTTGGGTGTCATAGCAATCTGATAAGTAGCAATAGCAATATGGTAACAACACCCTAGAAGAATTATGATTAAGGCTGTAACTATTTTTGATTTCGCTTGCATTTGTCGAGCATATACTCCACTATTAATACCACCGTGTTTATTAATTCAATTGCTAATTGGTTTTCAGTAGATATAGGTGCGTTTTCGCTCAGATTGTAATCTGATCAATTTGTCGATAACTACCTTTAACAGAAAATTGATTCACTCCAGTCTTGCTGCCGGCCCATAATAGGCAAAGCAGATTGCTTTACGGTTTATTTTTTGGAAAACAAGTTCTCTGGTGTGTGACGATACCTCTTGAGATACGTACCTACGTTTCTTTAGAATGATATACTGCATCTTGCGAAGTCTTGTTTGGTTAAAGAGCTTGTTTCAGGCATTTATTAAATTTGCGTGATGCAAACGATTTCGATGACTTTTCTTGGACGAAATTGCCCTTGCCAACTTTTTGTGTAAAAACTGGATACACTATGTTAACCTAGTCGAAGGGCTTTGAAAATAGATTATTCTGTAATTGAGAGAAAAGAGTTTTCCTGATCAGACAATAGGGTACCTAATCTTATCTCTTGTTGTATCTTTGGACACCAGGTGAGCACGTATCCGTGTTTTTAGTTAACTCACCTTTTTAAATGTATTTTTATGATGATCTTGCTTCAAATGTTTCATAGTCTTGCTTTAACGAATATTATTAGAACCAAGATAAAAAGTTTTTGAGAGAATTTTGAGTTTTCTATTATTTTACTGCAAATGTTTCATTGACTGACACATGGCTTTTTCGAAAGTTTTGGAGTTGGAAAAGCAAAGGATTGGTGCTCCCCCGATGCTTTTCACCACGATTTGATGATTTGATTATTCCCGTCTATTTTTTGTTGTCAAGTGGGTTTTATTTCTTTACAATACAGAACAAAACTTGTGTATCAACCTAAGAAAGCACCTTGACCTGATGATCACCAGGATGATTCGACAAACCATAGTCATAAGAACGGAGTTTTGGTTTCAGATGGTCTACTACGTCTTTCCGCATTCTTTTTCTCAAACACTCTCGCCTTTAAAACGTCAAAAGAATAGGTTGGTAATTATTAATTTCCTGTTCCTTGTACACAATCCATGTATGTGGATTCATATCAGATTATTATTCAAACATTTAAAGTTCATATTGACGAAAACTGGCTTGAAAGTTTCATCAAGTTTCGATCGCGACCTTTGAAAGTATTTGAAGAAGTTATCCTGGTCTTATAAATGTAAACGTAAATCTCTCTTACCGAAAGATGGAATTCCCCAGTGGCGGCCTGGCAGGGGGGCCGGGGGCCAGGGCCCCCCAGCTGACTTTTTTATAGGGGCGCCAAAGCTTGCATAGAGCGCCGAAAACTCGAAAGAAAGTTTGATACGACCGACTTGTCTGATTATTAGGTCTCTAGAAGGTCGGCAGAGACAAAGAAGACGTATTGAAATTTAAAACTTTCTTGGGGCGCACGCTGCCATAACCCCTAGAACAGGCTCGCTTCAAGGGCAAGTCTTTGTGCCCCTTCAGTACTGTATTATCCAGACAAAAACTTTTGTACTGTTCCCAGGGGCGAAAAAAATTAATTAATTTTTATTAGAGAATTGTCAGGAAACTAACAGTTAAATTCTTTTGTGTGGAGAACACAGCACTTATAGTGCACACAGACTTTGTTTAGGGTGTCGGGGGACAGTCTGTGTTTGACTCATGCCCCTCTTCCAGGAAAAATTTTGATTTTCAATGAGTCTCTTTGGCTCTGTTGGCCTTCAGAGACCTGCTCATGTGGGGGTCAGTAGATTTTGTCTCTTTGCTTTATTTTTAATGGAAGGACCAACTTGTGTCGACGATACAACGATAGGGTGGATTCTTTTCCCTATTACAAAGTAACGAAATCCATTTTTAGACTGGAATTAATCAAACGTGCTAAAAGGGTGCCTTAAAAATGGCAAAATTTTTAAACGATTTCAAGAAAATGACTGCAAGAAATATATTGAAATGTTTTTCAAGCCAATCCAAAGGGCGTGGTCGTAAAAATTTTCTGCTCGCTCCGCTCGCAAGAAAGCCTCTTTTATTAAGAGTTATACCAAGGTTTTTATTCAGAGGTTTTTTAGTCAAATAAAGCTATTAACTCGAGCCCCTCCCCCCTCACTTTGAATTTCTTGGCACCGCCCCTGTACTGCCAATATTCTCAGGAAAAATACAATAGTGTTAAGCCCCGGCCAAACGAGCCAACATTTCACCCAACACCAATTTTTTCGCATGTTGGCTCAAATGTTGGCTCGTTTGGCCACCATGTTGGGTCACCCAACATTGTTGGGAAAGATGTTGGGTGAATTGTTGGATCGATTTGAAACTGGTCAAAAATGTTGGCGGCTGTTGGATCGTGATTAAAATAATCCCCATTGTTCAAGGCGTTGTTTGGCGTTGTTGGCTCGTTTGGCCGGGATGCCCAACACTCGTTGGCTCGTTTGGCCGGGTTGCCCAACATTTGTTGGCTTTTTTTTATATTCTCATAAAAATTTACAACGACAACAATTACAATATAAAAGCCTAGGGAGCATGGAAATGCATAACAACCCTAAGACTTACACTTAATATAGAGACACAAATATTACAATAATAAGCTACAAAAGTGATTGGAGTGGTGTCGCCCATCGTTCCAATAGCGTTGCAGATATGACAAATACTCACAAAAAGCTATTTTTAAAAGAAGATATCAAGTCTACCTATGTTCCTTGCTAATCAAACAAATTTGCGCCCAGACATGATGAGCGACACCACTTCAATCGTAAAAGGAATAAAATTTACACAAAAGAGAAAAAAACTTACACTAAAAATGATTTATTGGCTTCACGCAAGCGCTGTAAACAATTAATAAATGTGAATAGCTCCCGAATAGCTCTGCGCGCCAAGTTTGAGTTTGTGAAGCAGAGATCAAAATTGTAAGAAAAAGAACGTAGAATTGATTTGGATGACTGAAAAATATTGGATAATTGATAAGTATGAAGAAAGAGATTTAGTGAGCGAAGATGAGTGCGACGAGGCCGTAAAGGAAATGAACAGAGTTTTGGGGAAAAGAAAATCGTTGCTTTCAAGATCAGGGATGGCAGGCTTAGGTCGTTTTGGACTCAATTCGAGTATCCCAAAAACGGTTGTGCTAAATGCTGGGTGAATTGTTGGATGGTTTGGTCAGCCTTCCCAACAACACCCAACATTGTTGGGAAAGATGTTGGGTTAAATGTTGAGCAAAGTGTTGGCTCGTTTGGCCAGGGCTTTAGTTATGGAGGGCGCCATTTTGATGCTGCCCCCCCCCAGACGAAAAGGGCCAGGCCGCCACTGGAATTCCCCCTTCTGAAGACGTCCTGAATAAATTTTTCTAATCCAGTATCGCTTTTTGCTGTTTTACTCGCTTTTTGATAAATTTAAAATTTAAAGCTTTCTGATAAAAGCATTTTTCGGACAGTCGCTATGTTCTTTTGTAATACTCGCAGCGAATTCGCATAAAAATTTCTGCCAGTGTCAATTGAACTTCGAATTCGAGAGAAAAATTCGCAGCTAAAAAATTCGTGGCGAAAAATTCGTCTCGTGTAAATCAGGCTTGAGTACTAAAAGCTCCTTTATTTGGCATCAAAATTTTGGCGGTTTAGTACTAGAAATTTCTTATTTGGTTTTTTATTCCGGGACCTAAAATTGCCCTAAAAACCGTCACGCGTAGGCAGGTAGATTTAGTAGTATGACGTAATTTTTTTTGGGACACGTGAAGCCGTGTAAATAAATACTGCCGCGCAGAGAAAAAGACTCGTCGAAAATTGGCAAGAGGAAGCAGTAGAATTTAGTCCTTGCGGACAGACTTTGCAAAAATGATTAAAATAACTCTTCAGAAGTCACCATGGTCGCTATTTCGTGGTGCTGTTCTTCGTGTTGGAATATTCAAGCTGAAACCCGTTGGCGAGAGCTCTATGTGTGCGTTGGAAGGACAGGTAGGCCAAACTCTTCTTTCTGTTCTCTACTAAACTCAAAAACAAATTTCAGCATATCAAGCTAATTACAAGTTACGTAATTCTAAAGTTGTTTAACTACAATCAGTAATGTAAAGTTGGCCAACAAAAATGAAAATGATGAAGCAACTTTTTCATCACTTTTATCTTCAGTATTTTTAAAAAGGGTGTTTTCAGCACTCTCATGGGGGATTGGCATCTTAAAAACAGTTTATGGTTTAGCCCCCTGATCCCCTGACCCACATATTATTGGACCATCCCTTATTCAAAAGTATATGGGCATGGCGAGGGTTGAGGCAAACATCAGTAACTAAGTCATGAAATGATTTGGAGAGGAGAGCTCAAAAGGTGCTATGGTCCCATCTTATCCCATTCATTTGTTATCCACACCATTTGGCTCATGAAATGCAATTGAAAGAATACTCTAACTAAAATATTGTGTAGCAGTCATTCAATGGAGTTTTTTTGCAAATCAATAGAGCTTTTTTTAAAATCTTTTGTTATGATTGTTATATTTCTCTTGGCCCTCCACTGTCCAACCTGTGTCAGAGCCCATGTAGTTGGTTGTCAAAATGTTTATATTGGTTGCCAGCCTTACTTGATCAGGTCATTGTAAAGCATGCAACACTTAAAAATATTTAGGCCTTGAAAAATCCTATTGATAACTCCTATTAACAACTTTTAAATCATAGAGATCATAAACACAACCATTAAAAGGTTTCAAATTTTTAACAAAATTCTCAGTTTGTTAAAATGCCAGGAAAATACACCCATCATTAGGTGTCCAGTAAAAAGATGCTTTAGTTGCCAAAGAATAATAAATAATCGAGTAATAAAGAGAATGTATTATATGCACAAATTTTTCATTTGATATATTTTTCTGTCTGATAAGTTACATATAAGTTAGTTGCTTGAATCAGTATTCCAAGTATTGCAAATGCATAGCACTGCATTCAGAAATCTGAAATGCCAAATTTAATCCACAATTGTTGTATCATAGAAAATATTAGGCTGCCATGCCATATGAATAACAATTTGAGGTTTCCATGTGACACTCATAGAAGAAATCACTATTCATAAATGAGATCTTGTGGAGAACTTTAGTACTTTGACACAAAGGTGCTAGTTTTACACATTTTCCATCATTAGTTCTTTGACATTCCAGTTTCTGAGATGCATGACAACAACATCAAGTGAAAAGAAAACTGCGGAATATGCGCCACATTTCAAAGACAGCCATCCAAGTCAACATGCTTCTCTCAAGAAAGCTGCCATGGATATGGATGAATATAAACCCAATGAAAAACCATACTCTTTGCCACATCCAGTTTGGTGAGTCTGAATTTGTAGTTTTGCTTCGAACAATTTTCTGTTTTTTCACAACTCTATTTCTATAAAAAGCTGCTTATGGATTTGTGTCTAGAAGATTCTTTCAGAGAAGTTCAAAATGAAAATTCAATTTGCAAGTGACTAATAAGTCGTTATGTACTAATAATGAAAAAAATGTGTAGCAGGGCAAACCACGCTCTGCTACACATTTATGTGCAGAACTTTGTTGGTCTAATTGTGTCCCAAGCATGGAAAAACAAAGTTCCATGTTAAAAAGTATAACATAAGGTAATTTAGAAGTACCGTACTTTCCATCTTTTGCACAAATAAGTACAGTTAACTGCTCTACATATTTTGTACCACTGATATGATATGATATGATATGATATGATATGATATGATATGATGTGATGTGATGTGATGTGATGTGATGTGATGTGATGTGATGTGATGTGATGTGATGTGATGTGACGTAATGTGATGTGATATGATATGATATGATATGATATATGAAAAATGATATATGATATATGATATATGATATATGATATATGATATATGATATATGATATGATCAGGGACGGATGTAGCGGGGGGTGTCTGGGGGTGCAACACCCCCAATATTTCTGTTTCTTTCGGTAAACATTGTTTCATTCGATAAAAATTTGGTAGTCAGTATTACCAAAATAACGCCAAGATTTTACTTTATTTTTTTTCTTAACAGCATTTACCTTGATATCAGTAGCGTAGCGGGGGGGGGGGGAATATTTGGCGTTGTCGCAAAAAATTTCTGCTCGCAGGAGACCCATCCATACAGAATGTTCCTTCCTGTTCTTGAGACATTCCAGATAAAAAAGAAACTAAAATGCTAAAGCAATCCAATTCTTAAAAAAACTGGATTCTGAAATGCTTCTCGTAGATTTTGCCCAAGGAAAACGGACTTGGTTTAAAACTTTTGAATACTGTTTACTATTTTTGGATATTTGATAACAACTTTGGAAAATCACTTTTTACATTGAGAGCTTCCTCCCCTTACATAATACAGGATATAAACATTAGTGGAATGGCGAAGGAAATAGACAGTTGTAGATTATGGTCAGCCACAAAACGCTACATATGACGTTGTATAAAGGGAAATTGCCACGTAAAGATGCCATAGCTTTTCCAAACGCATTTACAAGATGGGTGTTTTCCCAAATTCTTAGGGGTCTGGTCAGCAAAAATTCTCTCCCCTTTGCCCACCAATCTTCCAACCCTAGCTACGCCACTGCTTTGTATCGTCTCTACCTTGAAGTTGAAAACCAAATTTTAAAAATGGGCGTTTTCATCATTTACCAGTGACAAGTGACCTGAAGGGTGTGGCACCAAAATTAGTGTCTAACACCCCCTCCCCAATCATTGTTGTTTAAATTCGCCCAATCTAATACCCCCCAATCATTGTTGACATGACATGACATGACATGACCAGAGTTGGCCAGAAAATAACAAGTTCTTAGAAGGAGACAGAAACTTAGAAAGGGGTTCAATGATTGAACTTGATGTAAGAGAGGGCAGGAAAAAATTTTAAAAGAGGAATTATTAATTCTTTAAAGATGAGTAGAAGGTTGTGCTCCCAAGCTCATATTCAAGTTGTCCTTGTAGAAGGATGTTTATTCATTTACTTTAAAAAACATGAAAACTTGTCTTTTGATTGAATCTCACAGTTTTGGTCCTTGGAAAGGTTGTGCTCTCACTTGCAGTTATCATTGAAATTTAGTAGTTATGCAGGTTTCCATCAAATTGTTGATAGCATGAAAAGTCCCAAAGAGGCCATACATAAGAAAAAAAGTTGAAGTGGTCCAGTGACTTCAAATTGCCACAACTATTTTTTCAAGTTCTTTAATTCAGAGCAGTTGCTATAAAATTGTTGATAGTAAAAACATTGATTTCTCACAGGACAGAAAAAGAAGTACATGAAGTAGAAGTTGACCATTACACACCTAGTGGATTTGTTGATTGGGTAAGATGTTCATTAGTTCCTTTATTGTGGTTTTGTCTTATTCCTCGGGCAGGGGGAATCAAGCGACTTCCTATACATCAGAGGTCTTCCATAAAATCTTGAATTTCATAACTTGAAGAAAGTGTGTATGTGAAAAATTCTTGTGTACAGACGGGTTGTCTTTGAAAAATGTTACATGTTTTCCATGTACAAATAGATGTTTAAAACAGAATGAGGACCATAAGAAACAGCTACTTCTAGCATATCCGCCTTTTCCTATAAGCAAGTAGATGGCTTTTGGTGTCTCGTGACCTTAGCCATTGCGGCCGCGCCACGTCTTTGTGCTTTATTGCATTGCAGATTGCGGCATTTGCCTGATTTTTTAATGGCTTCACGGCTTTTGGACCCCCTATAATTTGGACCGGCCTCCTCTCTATAACTTATGAATTATAAAATAGAGAGAAAAGGATTAAATGGTATGATTGATGTCAATAGTGCCAACTATGAAACTTAATGCTATACTGCACCCATTTTCTGGCGTGTACTGCAATGAAAAGAAAAACGTCTCATAGCAAATATCTCATAACTAATGGCACATTCGTTACTCTTCTCCATTAGCCAGGGGCACAACTCCCCCCCAAAAAAGCCCCTTGCATGGCACATTAGTATGGCTTTTTAAAATAAGTTTTCTGCAATGAAATGTCTTTTCCAATAAGTTTTTGAAGGCCTTGGACGGAGACCCTACTAGTATTCATCTCCTTTGAAGTTTTTGGTAGCTATCGTAATACGGACATCATTCCACAAACTTACTCCCCTAAATGCTCATATTGATATCATAACATAAATTTATTCATGCACATTCCTTTTCATTTAGATGGCCTATGGTTGTGTTCAGACAATGAGGACTTGTTTTGACCTTATCTCTCTTTACAAGATTGGAGTAATGGATGAATCTAAGTGGTTAACGTAAGCAGTTTTTATTGGCTATCTTATCGTTTAAGCGGTTTTCTTTTGATGAAGACCAAGAATTTGAAAAAGATAAGACACCCAAGGCAGATCGGCCATGTTTTGACTCGGCTACGTTAGACTGAATTTTTATAATAAATTTATACGGTCTAGCTGCACTTTCCGTTTATTTTTCAAAAACATCTGGCTCAAAATTGAGATTGTAATTCTACTGCTCAACAACGTCATGAATTATCTAACAACATCAGCCTATTGATATATTATGGTGATTATAGTAAAAATTATTGCAATTATACGGCATTCAAAGCTAGTTTTCCATCATTGACGACAGCTCCTAAATATGCCTCAATTAGAGTCTGGTATAAAAGTGCCGGATACCGTTAGGAAATTTTCGAATGACCAAAATTATCCGTAATCCCAAACACATTCATCCAAACTTTGTATTCAAATTCTTATTAAAACAGCAGTTTATAAACTATAAATTTAAGAAAGATCCCAGTAATGCTCTAAAACCTCCCATATAAAACTATCCCAATTATGCAATAGCATGTAATCAATGCCTCTTGAGCACGCTGAATTAGTCTAAAGGAATGTTTAATTAAAAGTTTTTTAATTACCCAAAAAATCAGAATTTCCATGATCTAATAAGGCTCAGTACGGCTAGTTTTCAAGTATCTGACCTTTTCAAAGTATTTAAACTGAACATGATGCTTTAACATCAAGTCTTTGTTCTTCTAAAGGAAGCATGTTATACGTTGGGAACCTTCTATCTGTCATGAAGCATTTTCACCTGCTATGAATTGAAAACATTGAAATTGATTTTCAAGTTCCTATGTGTTGGTCGATCAAAGTAAATAATCAAGAATGTATTTATGAATCTGAATTCTTTCCTGCTGCAGGAGAATTATCCTCCTTGAAACCGTGGCTGGAGTGCCAGGTATGGTTGCTGCTATGTCGAGGCACTTTCATTCCCTGAGAAGAATGGTACGGGACAATGGCTGGATTCATACTCTGCTAGGTACTTAGGTGCCCTAGACATTTTTAGTTTTTTAGACATTGAAGCCCTTCACACTAAAAAAATTTACGAAAAAGGTTCTACGAAAAGGAGACATTTTTTGATACTGCGAAGCTTTTATTGTGCATAAACATCCGAGGAGAATTTTTTTACAACATCCATAGGGTGAATCGGAAATGATATAAGATGAATAATCATGCCATTCAACCCCTCGATGCATTTCGTTTGCGTCTAGCTTTTTACTTCTGTTCAGCTTTATTAATTATTCCATGCTTCAAACGTTCTTCATGTTTTGTATTGTTGGAATTTTAGTTTTGTTATCATGATGTATGGATTGTTAAATAGAATTTTTGCTGTGACTAAGGATGAAGTCAAGTCCCGGAGACGAACCAAAGTTTAGTTTGCACCAAAACAGCTTAATGTTACCATTTTGTATCCAAGTTGCCATTTGTTTAACAGTCATGCACTGACGATCCCACTGTTTGTGTTTTTGAATACGTTTGTCCGTTAGCAGTTTGTTTTGATTCTTTATATAAATCATATTAATATTTTTTGCGCAGAGGAAGCAGAAAATGAGCGTATGCATCTTATGACTGCACTAGAGCTAAAGCAGCCTGGGCTTCTCTTCAGGGGTTCTGTACTTATACTTCAAGGTTAGGGCCAGATCTTTGATATCTTTAATCCATGGTCCACCTTCTCTCGTGATTTTCCACTTTAAAACAGAAGTTTATGTCACTTCTTAGATGACCATACTATATGCTTTTATTACATCGTTAGATAATCCCGACCTTGTTAGAACCTAGATTCACCACTGAGCTGTAAGCTACTCAGATGGTTTCAAAGCAGAAGCACCCCCAGGCTTACATCTGAACCTGATGGAAACCTTTTGAATACAGCAATATCTTTTAAATATTTTGAGAAACTATTCAAGACTATTAGATTCTGTTAGGTGCTATCAGATACCAATTGGATGCTATTTGATACTGTTAGGAAGATATTGAGATTTGAAGCATTGGAAAATTATTATTTCCTATGCCTATGCCGAAACATTGATGTACTTGATATTCATTGATATTTTTTGTTGTCATTCCAATCAGTTCCTTCGATGAGACTGCTCTTGATGATGTTTCTTCTCTCCTGCCGCCAGGCATTTTCGTGAATATGTTTTTCTTGGCTTATTTGGTCAGCCCGAGATTTTGCCATCGCTTTGTTGGTTATCTAGAAGAAGAAGCTGTCAAAACCTACACATACTGTCTAGAGGTACGTGAATGTAAGAAAGGTTTTCTTTTTTCCCGAATTGGTTCATTAAGAATGGGTTTGGTAACCAAATAATTTGATTGGATACTTCTTAAGTAAGATACTTGAGGTGAACCAGAGCGTATATCATGCAGCCATCTCGAAGAAATTTCAGATTACTTCCCAACAATCGTGTGAATATCCTGAAATTGCACTACATCTGATTGATTTCAGCGACTCAGCATTTTTCATATTGCTCATCTTCCATATTTTACTTTCTACTTGGCTAAGGGATACTCTTAGATCAATAAAAAACGGCTTAAGAAATAACGTAAATACAGCTTGAATCTGCTAGATTTCACATAAGTTTATAAAAATTTTCTTCCCAAACATTCAGGGACGTTTTTTGCGTTTATTTGTTAATTAGGTTACAAAGCTTGTAGCATAATTGCTTATTTAAGCCAAATTGTCCATTTTTCTTCATTAAAAGGTATCTGTATCATTTAAAATTACAGTTGCTCACACATTCTTTCGGATTTTTTATACGTTTGGTAGTGAGAATTTTAAGTATGTCATTGCATGTCGACTTCAGCTGCAAGACTACCTTTTCCATAAGAATTTGCCGCCTACGACCAATTTTATAATTTCGTCAATTTTTTAGTGTATTGATAATGGAAAGTTGCCCATGTGGCAGAGACTTGCAGCTCCTGAGATCGCCAAAAATTACTGGAGGCTGCAGGTGTGTATCTCCATTTAATTGTGTTAGATTTTATCATTTTCTAGTTGCTTCCTAAAGCTTTTAAGCCGATGGTGGGATTCATGTCTTAAAGTTAAAACTCTTTGGGATCATTTTTTGATGAAGATGTTCTGGCTTATTTAAAGCTGAAATTTGATGATGTTGTTATTGACTGGAAAGCCGAAGTATCTCAGAAACATTTGCTTGAAAACCAAGAATGTGCAAAAATGTGCAGTGACGATTTCCTGTCTACGCTTTTCAGCTAAAGCTGTATTTTTGCGAGAACTCGGATTTTGTTTGGCCATTGACGGTTCCCATAGAAAAAAGCTGTCTTTGCCTGTACCTGGTTGTTTAATTTTGAGCTAGGCAAGTGCAGAGGACATGCTTTTGTACCTACACGCCAGAACGAACAACAATTGAACAAATTTTGCTTTCTTCGGTTGCTTTTACTCAGCTTAACGAACTTCTAGTACAATTTGCCATAAAAGAGTCCAAACATGATCATTACATGCTATTGAAGTACCCAATTCACATTTCCTTTCCTTTTATCAATTAAAGGACGATGCAATGATGCGTGACGTCATACTAGCTATCAGGGCTGACGAAGCACACCACCGATTCGTAAATCACACTTTGGGATCTCTTGATAAAGATAAGGCCAATCCTTTTGGCCCTGGTCAATAAAGCATAAACTCGCGATTCACAAGTGGTAAGAAATCTATGACCACAATTTCATTGATAGATCACCACAATTTATCGAATTAAGCCTGTCTTAATTACGTTCCTTTTATGCCCTTGGTTATAATACTACTTGGTGTTTTTCACTCATATCCGTATCTTAACACAATGGAAGGGAAGTGTTAACACCGGAATTCGTAGTTTCAGAGACTCCCCGAGGTTAAAAATCTTATGGATTATGCTTTGTTTTTCTGTAGAATTATCTATCTACAGCACTAATAACTGTATTTAATTTAGCTGCTAGTATATATTTAACTGGTGGGTTAAAAATATTTTATAGATTTTTTAAGTAAAATTTGATTTCATGTAAGCTATTTTTAAATGTGTTTAGACCCTTTTTTGTAATTAGTAGCACAGAATAGAGATAGTAGTGTCCATCATATACATATCTTGAAAAATTAACATCCTAGGCAGAATAAATTTTTACTTCCTAGAACCAGGTTTTTATGCATTAAGAACTTCTCAGAAAACAATGTCTCATGACAGTGTTAAAATCAAAGATGGCGCTTACAAACTAAAATTTTTAACTTTGTGAAAATCTAATTGAACGGTTAAGACTTCATTTTTCACCTTTTTTCGATCTACACCTGGATAGGAATTTTCTGCTTACCTTTTGACATTTTCCAACGTTTATTCTCTGAGGAGTTTCGGATCAAAGGTAGATTAGTATTTGATGTTTCCGTTTTTCGTTTATCTTCAAGTTTTCCCATTGTTTCCCTATTAAATAAAAGAAGCTGATTCCTTCCGTCTTTTTCCATGTACATATTGTTATCAAAGCAGTTACTTGAAGAAATCTGTAAAATACTGGGCCAGCATACATTTATTATTTCATTCAAATTTTACTGGGTCGATTTAGATCAATGTATTTGGGGAAGGTTACTTACGGTTTATTTTAACTCAATCCACGTAACAGCTTTATATGGGAGCAAGAAATGGTCTGGGCAAAAGTATTATTTGTAGATATGTTTAAATCACCTATATTTTATTTTGGGTATTTTGGGTATTTGGGTAAAATTTGAATCAGCTGTGTAATTTTATGTAGTTTTTCTTAAAAATTTATTTATGGGTATTGCTAAGAACATATTCGCGAAATATTTCGTCAATTGATTTGTGCCTTTCTTAATTCTTTTTTTTAGTAATATTTTCAACCAAATACAGCTTAGGTAAAACGTATCCATATTTTGTCGTCCTATACACATAAGTGACATATACTCAAGACTTGACCACATTTGCTGTATAGCCTCAAGCCCTCTCGGATAAACTAAGAAGTTCCTTTTTTTGGAAACAAGCGAACTTCCAACGTTTTTAACCTTTATCTAGTATTCATTCTTTTTCTTGTTACCCATCTAAAAAGTTATTTCCACACTGTTCTTTGTCGACATAATAATGGCTTATTCTTAAGAACAATTAGAAACCGTTAATATTGCTTTGTCTACAAAAGTCTATTTACCATGACTCCCCAAGAAGAACTCCCCAAAAGAGAAGGCCTAATTACCATGATTCAATGCCTTTCAGATGATATTATATGCAGCTAACAATTACCTTACTTTGATTTTTTCGTGTTAGATATTTGGTTTTCTCTCGAAGACTTAAAGGCAACAAGTTTTATTTTCACAGAAACCACTACAGTTTATACGTCGATATTCCCGATACCACTTTTGTGACCTTTAGTAGTGTTTGTCCGTATTCTGTTTTTGTGTAATTCTTCGTAAAATGGCATGCAGTTCTTGATCGTTTGCATAACTACATTTGGTAATTTCTCTTCGCCTTTTCTTGAGGCATCGATCTGGGTATTGTTGGGATCCTTTTTTTGAAATCCTGAGCTTTTCAATACATTTTTGTGCCAACCTACACATTTATCCCAATCCGGCACTTGGCTTGGCTCCCATTCCAGCATTTCCTTTTCAAACCTAGCGCCAATCCTTTCACAATATTCCTGCATTATACCTTCTGGGTCATTCAACAAATCATCTGCATCAACTATGACAGGGCATTTGTCTATGTGCTTGACAACAAACATGTACAGCTCATACATTTGCCTGAAGCCACTTTCCTTTGGGTCAAAGTAGTCCCATCCCGTTAGCTGTTTGTTCACTGATGCAGCGTGCAGTGATGGTACTGCTTTCTTTGGGTCGCGTATGAGGAATGTGTGCTGGAAGCTGCTCATTCCGTCACCGAGTAACTCGTTGAAATGATTTTCAACGCCGTATGACATATCTTTTACGAAGACCAAGTCAATACCGTCATATTCTTTTAGTAGGTTTTCGCCGATGGCCTTGTAATTGTGCACTTCGTCGGGAGCCTGGTTTTCATACCGAGTGCTTTGTCGTTGCGGCCCAAAATAGTAAGCACAACAGTAAGGCTCGTGAAAAGTCTTGCTGTTCTTTAGCTCCCGGAATGAGCGCTCGAATGCATTTGAGACACTTCTTGGAGCAGTCCAGAGAAAAACCCTTTTTGTCATTGTAACTCGTCTTCTCCGCACTTCGCAAAATTCTTGTCAGATCCAGAAAAAGATCTCATCTTAAAGCAATTTTGTACTGGTGTGTAATAGAGTAATTCCACAAAAGATTAGTTTTGGCGGTTGCACTGGCAACTTTTAATGCATTGATACGAAGGCAAAATAGTGTCTTTGTAGGTTTGCGGTATGAGGACGTAAAATTATTTAGGGGTACCTTTTTTCAAAAGTATTGAATAATCTGTATCAGTCTTTGAAATATGTGGCATTATCGGTATCGGAATTATGGGTACCATTTGAAAAAACAAGCGGAATTATGGACATCATTTTGGTAAAAATGTTGCAAATTTATTAACAGGAAAATTAACAAAATGAATGTCTACTTCGAATTGAAAGTCGATAATATGTGTAATATTGAGACTTGAGATGTTTCGGCAAAAGACATAAGAAATGTGCTGGATGATTTTGTTGTGTTTTGAAAAATGTCATTTGTCTTGCTGATTTATGGGTATAATTTTCACCATGTTTGTTGAAGTAAAGGGGCCGTGTCACGTTTTTGTAAACAAACCAAATACACGGGACATTGTGCGTTTTTAGCCTGGATTGTACATTGGGATTATGAGGGATGGTGCTCTGGTGCTTTAATATGTTAGCCTGCGTGCAGACTTTCCTTTCTGTTGCGAAGGAGAGTTACTACGGAACTTCGGTCCTGGATCTCCTTCGCAGAGGAAAGTAAAGAGTAAAATGCTGTATGAGGGTGTTTTTGAAATATTTTTCCTTTCCGATTTCATTTTCTTACTTAAAAACCCTTTTCAAATTATGGCGGGAAATGAATCACGTGACACCGTGACGTAGATTGTGATAATTTGTTATTGCTGCTACTGGTATACAGTGCAATATTAACGCTTACAACACGCTTCTAAACGAATTCAGAGTTTTATCGGGTCATTCTTTTGCAAATTGTTTTCGACATTAAGTAATTGTTGTAAATAAATATAAATAGTAATAAAATGCGTCATTGTATTGCTTACGGATGCACACCAAAAGAAGGAGCTGCAGCCACCGCCGATGTAAAGAACATTTCATTTAATATATTTCCAGAGGACAAAGCAGTTAGGAAAGCCTGGCTTGTCAAAATAAAACGCGAAAACTTTGTACCAAGTCGACACTCCAGAGTCTGCTCCCTTCATTTTACAAATGAATCGTTTCGGAGATCGCCTGTTGTGAACAACTTTTTGGAAGTGACGATGAAAGCACAACTTTTGCCAGATGCTGCCCCTACGTTATTTGAATATAACAAAGTTGAAAGGCGTACATGTAGTGGCCGCAAAAAGAAAATGCATTCAGAAGTAAGTTATATTTTTCACTACAACTGTTAATTCAATCGGGAAAACCGTGGAGGGGTGCGGGGGGCAAACGACCGTTAAGTGTCTTCCGTACAAAAATATATTTCACCTTGCTACGTACAAGACAATTTTCTTATACCTTTTCGTAACTAAGTTGCCGTAAATGCTTATACCTTTTCGAGTTTTTAGAGAGAGGGGGCTTAATAGAAATGGGGGCTTATTAGAGAGGGGGGCTTATGTAAAAAATCACTGCGCTAGAGACGCTGAAGACAGAACTGGACAAGAAAATTTTGACTCTCAATCACATGAAATAAGAAATATTACGACGAAATGCACCATGAAATATGACTAAATCATTGCCGTTTACACTGTAGTCTTTCTTGTATGAAAAATGGGGCTTAATAGACCGGGGCGTTATTTCAAATTTCTGTTAAATATAAATTATTGATCTATAAAAAAAAGATTTATATTAATTTAAAATTGACTCACAATGATGATGTACTGTCTCAGAAAAGTACCACAGAGGCACAAAAGAAATCGAAGAATCTGATTATGAAACAGATGAAGTTGGGAGTGTTTTAAAGGAAAGTGACAAAAGTGATACTGAGTATGAAGAAATAGTGATACTGTGTTTATTAAAATTATTATTTTTGAATATATTTTGATTGTAAAAAAACCACTCACCATTCTGTATTTCCAATTCGTCCACTAGGATGTTCTTCTTCCGTGCCACCATTTTCTAGGTCGTCCTCGGAGCTTGATGTTTCCGTGATCGTATTCGGGTAGTTGTTTCGTACTAGAGGCTCAAATTGGTAAGGAACGATTTCCAAAGAATTATTTTCTGCATAATCGAAATCCGTTTGAAAATCTGCCATGTTTTTTCTGAGTTATCCGATCTTTTTTGTTGACGTATTCCCCAAAATGCTACTTGTTATCAATGACAGGAAAATTCCGAGTTATCACAATGTACGTCATAGGGTCACGTGATGAAAAGCAAAATCGCGCCCCCTGCGCCCCTGATTAGAAGTTTTGTTCTAAACCAGGAAAAACTTACTTCTTAATGATGACCTATAAATTAATGAAAAGAAAAGATAGAGTGAGGTGTTTCACTTGTCCTTTAAACAAATTTTGCATGTCCTTTGCCCCAAAATCTCAATATTACACATACTTCATTGTTCTATTTCTAACTGATCATTAATTTTGTTAATGCTAAATATCCCTCCTAATAATTTTGCAATATTTTCCCAAAACGGTAGTCCCGCACATATTTCAAAAAGTGATACCGAGAATTCCGCACTTTTCAGAAAAAAGTTACCCCTAAATAATGGCACGTTCCCGCACCTTCAAACATTATAAGTAACCTTCCCCCCCCCCCTCCGAGCACGCAGGCTACAATATGTTCGATAAATTGTATTTCATATTCAATTACATTCTTTCCACATTTATACCGATGTAATACTTTTTTTTGCGTGGTTACCAGAATCTGCGTGGGCTACTGCATCAGGGCAAGATGCATTATGCCAAACGCTGCGTCACATGACGACAACATCAAATCATTCTCACATCCACTTTTAAGATCAATAAAACTTTGAGGAGGAAAACCTGGGATTATACCCACGCATGCGCAAATATAAAAGTAACATGAAATGTTTCAGGTAGTCTACAATCTTTTTGTGTTCCTCTTCCGTTCAGACGTTCCTCTTCCGTTTTTATTGAAGGAAACCACTTTATTTTGGACAAGAATCGAAAATAATGAGCCTACGCAGAAAAATTGGAAATGTGAAGTTTCAATTTATCTGCTTGGCCTACCTTACCTGCCCCCCTGTCTAAGTCTACAAGCTGTCACTGTTCTTGATGCTTCAATTCGATGAGAACTATCGTATTATCAACATTTTTGATGAAAAATTGCTATATTTTGGACAAGAATCGAAAATAATGAGCCCACGCAGAAAAATTGGAAATGTGAAGTTTCAATTTATCTGCGTGGCCTACCTTACCTGCCCCCTGTCTAAGTCTACAAGCTATCACTGTTCTTGATGCTTCAAATCGATGAGAACTATCGTATTATCAACGTTTTTGATGAAAAATTGCTATATTTTGGACAAGAATCGAAAATAATGAGCCCACGCAGAAAAATTGGAAATGTGAAGTTTCAATTTATCTGCGTGGCCTACCTTACCTGCCCCCCTGTCTAAGTCTACAAGTTGTCACTGTTCTTGATGCTTCAAATCGATGAGAACTATCGTATTATCAACGTTTTTGATGAAAAATTGCTATATTTTGGACAAGAATCGAAAATAATGAGCCCACGCAGAAAAATAGGAAATGTGAAGTTTCAATTTATCTGCTTGGCTACTTACCTGCCCCCCTGTCTAAGTCTACAAGTTGTCACTGTTCTTAATGCTACAAATCGATGAGAACTATCGTATTATCAACGTTTTTGATGAAAAATTGCTATATTTTGGACAAAAATCGAAAATAATGACCCCACGCAGAAAAATTGGAAATGTTAAGTTTCAATTTATCTGCGTGGCCTACCTTATCTGCCCCCCTGTCTAAGTCTACAACTTGTCACTGTTCTTAATGCTTCAAATCGATGAGAACTATCATATTATCAACGTTTTTGGTAAAAAGTTGCTATATTTTGGACAAGAATCGAAAATAATGAGCCCACGCAGAAAAATTGGAAATGTGAAGTTTCAATTTATCTGCGTGGCCTACCTTACCTGCCCCCTGTCTAAGTCTACAACTTGTCACTGTTCTTGATGCTTCAAATCGATGAGAACTATCGTATTATCAACGTTTTTGATGAAAAATTGCTATATTTTGGACAAGAATCGAAAATAATGAGCCCTCGCAGAAAAATTGGAAATGTGAAGTTTCAATTTATCTGCTTGGCTACTTACCTGCCCCCCTGTCTAAGATCAACGTTTTTGATGAAAAATTGCTATATTTTGGACAAAAATCGAAAATAATGAGCCCACGCAGAAAAATTTGAAATGTGAAGTTTCAATTTTTCTGCGTGGCCTATCTTATCTGTAGTGATTGGGGCTCTTTAATTTCAGTAGGCAGCTTTGCCATATTTATTGGTCAATAAATCTAATGGTCTCAGTACCATGTGTTGTTGCACTTCTCTGTACCACTCTGTACCAGTGCTGTTCTTCCACTGGGAAAAATAACGTTGCTGTTTGCTCGAAATTCATATTTTAGGTTTCTAGTAACAAAGACATCCACCATAAATGCCGGATTCAGGTTATTGACAGTTTTATGTATCCCAGCCAAGAAAAGCTGTAAATCTATCTGGTGAAGAGACACTGATTCTGTTTTATTAAATAAGGACTCTTTCTGTTATAGTAAGTAATTGATCAAAATTGGAAGTGCTATCTTTGCATATGATTGGAAGAGCACATTCATGAATCTTGTTTACCGTAAAAGCTCTATTAAGCCCCCTCTCTATTTAGCCCCCCTTTCTAATAAACCAATCTTTTAGGCAGAAATTTGAAATAAGCCCCCACTCTCTATTAAGCCCCCCCCCAATTTTTATACAAGAAAGACTACAGAGTAAAGTGCAATGATTTAGTGATAGCTTATGATGTATTTCGTCGTAATATTGCCAATTTTTTAATTTCATGTGTTTGAGAGTGATATTGAGTCTTTTAAAGCAATACCAGATGATGATGTTTTGCAGCAAGATATTGCTGATTTGATTATTTATTCAGACGAAGATGAGGAAAGACTCAAAATTTCATTGAATTCCATGATTTAACGATTAGATTTCTGCCACTGTTCTGTTATACATTTTCGTTTTTAGACATAAACCAGAAAGCTACAGAAAAATAAAAATCATTATTGTATCCTTGATCTTGTTTTTTGATATTAGCCCCCCTCCCTCTCCAATAAGCCCCACTCTCTATTAAGCCCCCCTCTAGGACCCCGAAAATTAAATAAGCCCCCGGGGGCTTAATAGAGCTTTTACGGTATTTCATTATTTGAATTACTACCATAGAACATCCACAGAAGTAGGCAATAACTAAAATTAGACATTATGAGGGAGTTCATTGCTAGAACTAGTTGAGGTGCAGCCATTAATGTTGATATGCGATTTACAGCAAGAAGTTTTTGACTGGCCTTTTTGCAGAGGTTTGCAGGGATTGGAAGCTTAACATTTTGTCGAAGGTTATTCTAAGAAGTGTCTCTTTGGTACTCTCTTTTATCAGATTTATACAGAGACCCCTTTATCTTTTTTCCGAATATTAGAAGATGTCATTTTTCTTCGTT